TTTGGCTGTCCTCTTCCTCGCTAGCTGCTGCCTGTAAAGCCCTCCATCGACGGCGGAGTGTCAAGGCAACGGCCGCAATCATAGCCAGCATTGCACAGCTCACAACCATACCGGTTATGATGCCAATCCTGCTAAGCCCAGGCTGCGCAGATCCGCTGCTGCTACTGCCGCCGAGGGCTGTTGCTGCTGCAGGTGCTGCTGCCGCCGCGTGCCTGCTTGGTGGCGTGAGGCTTGCGCCCACGCCCACCGGCGGTTGCAGTAGCAGGGGCGGAGGGGTCAGAGGGCTGCTGCTATCTGGGGTTGGGACGTGGAAACCGGGTACTTCGCCGACCGTGCCGGCATCCGTGCCAGAGTCCTCGCCCACAAGACCTGTAGCGACGACTCCCGAGGCTGAGCTAACGAGCTGCAACACGCATGTGTCAGGCAACTGATCCGAAAGGGCGCCCTGCTTGGTTGCGGGTAAAACGGCCAGGTTGGGAAAAGGGTGGCGAAACGTATGAGGGGTTGGAGCTTGAGGACTTCCAGGCATGGACAGAACGCTGACAAAGAGCGGTTAGGCATGGGGCCTAGCGCCCCGACGACGGCACGCAGCAAACAAACTCTTTCGTCACACACTTCACAAAGTACATGTCGTCAAACCAAGAAACCGAAGTGCATGATCGAGCAAGTTGCAATTGAAAACCAATGTTACCTGTTCGCAGATGTCGTTGAGAGCGGCAACGTCAGCGACGGCCAGTCGGAAGGTCGCAGCGGCGCCTTCGCGGATACGAACCGGCACGACGAATGATGACGATGACTTGAAGAACGCCGTAGGAGGAGCGTACGAGCCGAGCTGCTGGACCTCCTCCACCACGGCAGCGCCTGCCAGCCTCATGAAGACAAACATGGGTGCTTCAAGGCTTGACAGCCAAGCCGTACAAGCCGGCGCAGCAGAGCCATTGCCGTACAAATGCACCGAGATGCTCGTCAGGTGGGTGGCAGGAGAGAAGGACTTGTGCACGGAGGCGGATACGCAGCCGCCCGCACCAAGCAACGGCACTGATGAGGCCCCATCGGCGGCACTGCTGCTGCGGTTAGTAGCGTCATCGTGGGCACCGGCCTTGAGGCTGCCCGTCTTGATGGTGGCAGAAGTAGCAATCACAACCTTAGCGGCAGAACTGTCGCTGACGCTGCTGCTGCTGCCTGCTGTGCTGTCAAAGTCCAGAGCAGGGTTGCTCGGTCCCGAGAGCACAGCCGGCAGCATGGCTTCAGTGGTGAAGCTATCCGACCACATCACAACTGGCAGGCTGAGACCCCGTGTGGGCGCCTGTACGGATGCCGTGGATCGCGCTCGAGAAACAGTCGTACGTTTTTCAAAGCCCAACGTGTACGTGAGTGTCGTACCAGCTAGCACCGAGTCCGTAACCGTCAAGGAGGTTAGTCCGTCGTGCATGTACGGAATTACCTGTACACGTAAAGGTCGGCAGCAAAGGAACGGCATGGGGTACGACAACAGTAGGGAGAATTAAGTCTGGGAACGGTTGCGAACGCAGAAAGGATACACTCCTACGTATAGCGTGTGCTAGTCGAATATTGACAGCTAAGTAGTAGCGGTATTGAACCCATGCATTTATGGCATTCATTGAATTAGCCATGTACTTAGCCTGCGCCAACCAACCTCGACATTCAAGAGCACCTACCTCTGTGACGGTCGTACCATCACCATCCGACCGAACCGCAGTCGCCACACTGCTCACGTCCAGGTCCTGACCTAGCACAGCTGGGTTGGCCACCAGGCACCAGCCACGCAACGTGGGCGCGGAATCAGCCACAGCAACCAGGTACGTCACGCTGTAATGCGTCGCATTCTCAGCCGTGTCGTACACCGAAGCGTCATAACCGGTGGCGTCCAAGGTCACGACGCTGCTGGGCACAGGGACTGGAACATAGGCGCTCGGTGGAGACGCCAACACCGACAACGTTGCTGCTGCTGTGGATGCGGACGGCGGTGCGGTTGGGGACGTTGGAGCTGTGACGCTCGAGGAGTTGGGTTCGAGATCCATGGGATCAAGAGCCGTTGATTGGGTGGAGATTGACGGGGTGGTGAAGAAGCTCTGGTCGGGCGGAGGGAACTCGGGAGGCGGCGGAGCCGCGGGGGGAGCCGGGACCGTGGGCGGCCTAGGCGGGCGTGGAGAGGGCGGCGAAGGGCGTGGTGGAGGAGGCCTCGGTGGTGGCGGCCTGGGAGGCGGAGGATTAGGGGGCGAGGGCTTGGGCGGTGGAGGAGTTGGCGGCGGGGGTCTTGGCGGCGGAGGATTAGGGGGCGCGGGGCGTCGCGGAGGTGGCAGTGGCGGTGGGGGTCTTGGGAACGGGGGCGGTGGGGGTGAGGGGCTGGGTGGAGGAGGGCGTGGTGGTGGTGGTCTGGGAGGCGGCGGAGCAGGAGGCAAGGGTTTCTGGGGCGGCGGGGATGGAGGAGGTGGCCGTGGGGGTGAGGGAGAGGGCGGGTCGGGCTGGGACGGGGGAGGAGAAGGAGGAGGAGGTCTAGGTGGAGGAGGCGAGGGGGGTTGCGGCTTGCGTGGCGGAGGCAATGGCGGTGGTGGTCTGGGACTTGGAGGGCGAGGAGGCGAGGGCCTGGGGGGTCGCCGCGGTGGGGGTGCCCTGGGTGGTACGGCAGGAGATGGCGATGGGCTTGGCGCGGGATGAGAGGGCGGATGTAGGGGCGGCGGGGGCGAAGGCGGAGGGGTGCGAGGAGGAGGCTGCGGAGTGTCAGGCGGAGGCGCGGAGGTAGGCGGAAGGCCGGGTGGGGCATATACTGGTGGGTAGGGCTGTGCGGGTGAGGAAGGTGGCGGGTTTGAAGGCGAAGGTGCGGGTGAAGGTGGCGGAAGAGTGGGTGTTGCTGGAGGATGGGGAAGGCTTGGCGGAGTAGGTTGCTGTGGAGGCTGAGGTAGCTGTGGAGGCGCTGGCGTTGCAGGGATGGCTGGGCTGGGGTGTAGAGGAGGGGCTGGGCTGGGGCTGGGTGGTGAAGCGGGTGGCTGTGAGGGCTCCGGGCTTGGCGAGGGTGGAGGTAGCCGAGGTGAAGGGGGGGAAATTCGGGGTTGAGGTGAAGGAGCGTAGGGCGGCGAAGGAGACGGCGGAGGGGTTGGAGCTGCTGGTATTGTAGGCTGGGGTGACGGGGGCTGGGGGAGCGAAGGCGAAGGAGGCACAGGCGGGCCAGAGCGCGATGGAGCTTGGGGAGGAGGAAGGGCTGGGTTGGACGGAGGTGGTGGAGCGTTGGGAAGGGGAGGAAGAGGCGCCGCGGGGACTTGAGGAGGTGTAGGGGAGGGGCTGGGAGGCGCAAGAGGGTGGGGCGAGGGAGGAGGTTGGAGAGGCGATGATGTGGACGGTGGCGGGGCGGGTGGATATGTAGGTGGCGGGATGAGCGGCTGAGGGGGGTGGGGGTTGGAAGACGATGGCGAGGGAGGCGACGGCAGAGGGCCAGGAAACTGAGGATAGGGAGTGGGACTGGGTGATGGAGTGCTGGGTGACGGCGGATATGCTGGAGGGTTGGGAGGATAGCTGGGGACCTCGGGAGGCGAGGGGCTAGGCGGAGCCGGGTATGGAGGTGGCGGGCTGGGCGAGGGCGGGCTGGGTGACGGTGGCGAAGGCGAGGGCGGGCTTGGCTGTGGCGGGTAGGGAGGAGGAGCAGTGGGGACCTCGGGAGGCGAGGGGCTAGGTGGAGCCGGGTATGGAGGTGGCGGGCTGGGCGAGGGCGGGCTGGGTGACGGTGGCGAAGGCGAGGGAGGGCTTGGCTGTGGCGGGTAGGGAGGAGGAGCAGTGGGGACCTCGGGAGGCGAGGGGCTAGGCGGAGCCGGGTATGGAGGTGGCGGGCTGGGCGAGCGCGGGCTGGGTGACGGTGGCGAAGGCGAGGGCGGGCTTGGCTGTGGCGGGTAGGGAGGAGGAGCAGTGGGGACCTCGGGAGGCGAGGGGCTAGGTGGAGCCGGGTATGGAGGTGGCGGGCTGGGCGAGGGCGGGCTGGGTGACGGTGGCGAAGGCGAGGGAGGGCTTGGCTGTGGCGGGTAGGGAGGAGGAGCAGTGGGGACCTCGGGAGGCGAGGGGCTAGGCGGAGCCGGGTATGGAGGTGGCGGGCTGGGCGAGCGCGGGCTGGGTGACGGTGGCGAAGGCGAGGGAGGGCTTGGCTGTGGCGGGTAGGGAGGAGGATAGCTGGGGACCTCGGGAGGCGAGGGGCTAGGCGGAGCCGGGTATGGAGGTGGCGGGCTGGGCGAGGGCGGGCTGGGTGACGGTGGCGAAGGCGAGGGAGGGCTTGGCTGTGGCGGGTAGGGAGGAGGAGCAGTGGGGACCTCGGGAGGCGAGGGGCTGGGCGGAGCCGGGTATGGAGGCGGCGGGCTGGGCGAGGGCGGGCTGGGTGACGGTGGCGAAGGCGAGGGCGGGCTTGGCTGTGGCGGGTAGGGAGGAGGAGCAGTGGGGACCTCGGGAGGCGAGGGGCTGGGCGGAGCCGGGTATGGAGGTGGCGGGCTGGGCGAGGGCGGGCTGGGTGACGGTGGCGAAGGCGAGGGCGGGCTTGGCTGTGGCGGGTAGGGAGGAGGAGCAGTGGGGACCTCGGGAGGCGAGGGGCTAGGCGGAGCCGGGTATGGAGGCGGCGGGCTGGGCGAGGGCGGGCTGGGTGACGGTGGCGAAGGCGAGGGCGGGCTTGGCTGTGGCGGGTAGGGAGGAGGAGCAGTGGGGACCTCGGGAGGCGAGGGGCTAGGTGGAGCCGGGTATGGAGGTGGCGGGCTGGGCGAGGGCGGGCTGGGTGACGGTGGCGAAGGCGAGGGAGGGCTTGGCTGTGGCGGGTAGGGAGGAGAAGCAGTGGGGACCTCGGGAGGCGAGGGGCTGGGCGGAGCCGGGTATGGAGGCGGCGGGCTGGGCGAGGGCGGGCTGGGTGACGGTGGCGAAGGCGAGGGCGGACTTGGCTGTGGCGGGTAGGGAGGAGGAGCAGTGGGGACCTCGGGAGGCGAGGGGCTAGGCGGAGCCGGGTATGGAGGTGGCGGGCTGGGCGAGGGCGGGCTGGGTGACGGTGGCGAAGGCGAGGGAGGGCTTGGCTGTGGCGGGTAGGGAGGAGGAGCAGTGGGGACCTCGGGAGGCGAGGGGCTGGGCGGAGCCGGGTATGGAGGCGGCGGGCTGGGCGAGGGCGGGCTGGGTGACGGTGGCGAAGGCGAGGGTGGGCTTGGCTGTGGCGGGTAGGGAGGAGGATAGCTGGGGACCTCGGGAGGCGAGGGGCTGGGCGGAGCCGGGTATGGAGGCGGCGGGCTGGGCGAGGGCGGGCTGGGTGACGGTGGCGAAGGCGAGGGCGGGCTTGGCTGTGGCGGGTAGGGAGGAGGAGCAGTGGGGACATCGGGAGGCGAGGGGCTAGGTGGAGTCGGGTATGGAGGCGGCGGGCTGGGCGAGGGCGGGCTGGGTGACGGTGGCGAAGGCGAGGGCGGGCTTGGCTGTGGCGGGTAGGGAGGAGGAGCAGTGGGGACCTCGGGAGGCGAGGGGCTAGGTGGAGCCGGGTATGGAGGTGGCGGGCTGGGCGAGGGCGGGCTGGGTGACGGTGGCGAAGGCGAGGGTGGGCTTGGCTGTGGCGGGTAGGGAGGAGGAGCAGTGGGGACCTCGGGAGGCGAGGGGCTGGGCGGAGCCGGGTATGGAGGCGGCGGGCTGGGCGAGGGCGGGCTGGGTGACGGTGGCGAAGGCGAGGGTGGGCTTGGCTGTGGCGGGTAGGGAGGAGGAGCAGTGGGGACCTCGGGAGGCGAGGGGCTAGGTGGAGCCGGGTATGGAGGTGGCGGGCTGGGCGAGGGCGGGCTGGGTGACGGTGGCGAAGGCGAGGGAGGGCTTGGCTGTGGCGGGTAGGGAGGAGGAGCAGTGGGGACCTCGGGAGGCGAGGGGCTAGGCGGAGCCGGGTATGGAGGTGGCGGGCTGGGCGAGGGCGGGCTGGGTGACGGTGGCGAAGGCGAGGGAGGGCTTGGCTGTGGCGGGTAGGGAGGAGGAGCAGTGGGGACCTCGGGAGGCGAGGGGCTAGGCGGGGCCGGGTATGGAGGTGGCGGGCTGTGCGAGGGCGGGCTGGGTGACGGTGGCGAAGGCGAGGGCGGGCTTGGCTGTGGCGGGTAGGGAGGAGGAGCAGTGGGGACCTCGGGAGGCGAGGGGCTAGGTGGAGCCGGGTATGGAGGTGGCGGGCTGGGCGAGGGCGGGCTGGGTGACGGTGGCGAAGGCGAGGGCGGACTTGGCTGTGGCGGGTAGGGAGGAGGATAGCTGGGGACCTCGGGAGGTGAGGGGCTAGGTGGAGCCGGGTATGGAGGTGGCGGGCTGGGCGAGGGCGGGCTGGGTGACGGTGGCGAAGGCGAGGGTGGGCTTGGCTGTGGCGGGTAGGGAGGAGGAGCAGTGGGGACCTCGGGAGGCGAGGGGCTGGGCGGAGCCGGGTATGGAAGTGGCGGGCTGGGCGAGGGCGGGCTGGGTGACGGTGGCGAAGGCGAGGGCGGGCTTGGCTGTGGCGGGTAGGGAGGAGGAGCAGTGGGGACCTCGGGAGGCGAGGGGCTAGGCGGAGCCGGGTATGGAGGTGGCGGGCTGGGCGAGGGCGGGCTGGGTGACGGTGGCGAAGGCGAGGGTGGGCTTGGCTGTGGCGGGTAGGGAGGAGGAGCAGTGGGGACCTCGGGAGGCGAGGGGCTGGGCGGAGCCGCGTATGGAGGCGGCGGGCTGGGCGAGGGCGGGCTGGGTGACGGTGGCGAAGGCGAGGGCGGGCTTGGCTGTGGCGGGTAGGGAGGAGGAGCAGTGGGGACCTCGGGAGGCGAGGGGCTGGGCGGAGCCGGGTATGGAGGTGGCGGGCTGGGCGAGGGCGGGCTGGGTGACGGTGGCGAAGGCGAGGGCGGGCTTGGCTGTGGCGGGTAGGGAGGAGGAGCAGTGGGGACCTCGGGAGGCGAGGGGCTAGGCGGGGCCGGGTATGGAGGTGGCGGGCTGTGCGAGGGCGGGCTGGGTGACGGTGGCGAAGGCGAGGGCGGGCTTGGCTGTGGCGGGTAGGGAGGAGGAGCAGTGGGGACCTCGGGAGGCGAGGGGCTAGGTGGAGTCGGGTATGGAGGTGGCGGGCTGGGCGAGGGCGGGCTGGGTGACGGTGGCGAAGGCGAGGGCGGACTTGGCTGTGGCGGGTAGGGAGGAGGATAGCTGGGGACCTCGGGAGGTGAGGGGCTAGGTGGAGCCGGGTATGGAGGTGGCGGGCTGGGCGAGGGCGGGCTGGGTGACGGTGGCGAAGGCGAGGGTGGGCTTGGCTGTGGCGGGTAGGGAGGAGGAGCAGTGGGGACCTCGGGAGGCGAGGGGCTGGGCGGAGCCGGGTATGGAGGTGGCGGGCTGGGCGAGGGCGGGCTGGGTGACGGTGGCGAAGGCGAGGGTGGGCTTGGCTGTGGCGGGTAGGGAGGAGGAGCAGTGGGGACCTCGGGAGGCGAGGGGCTAGGCGGAGCCGGGTATGGAGGTGGCGGGCTGGGCGAGGGCGGGCTGGGTGACGGTGGCGAAGGCGAGGGCGGGCTTGGCTGTGGCGGGTAGGGAGGAGGAGCAGTGGGGACCTCGGGAGGCGAGGGGCTAGGTGGAGCCGGGTATGGAGGTGGCGGGCTGGGCGAGGGCGGGCTGGGTGACGGTGGCGAAGGCGAGGGTGGGCTTGGCTGTGGCGGGTAGGGAGGAGGAGCAGTGGGGACCTCGGGAGGCGAGGGGCTAGGCGGAGCCGGGTATGGAGGTGGCGGGCTGGGCGAGCGCGGGCTGGGTGACGGTGGCGAAGGCGAGGGCGGGCTTGGCTGTGGCGGGTAGGGAGGAGGAGCAGTGGGGACCTCGGGAGGCGAGGGGCTAGGTGGAGCCGGGTATGGAGGTGGCGGGCTGGGCGAGGGCGGGCTGGGTGACGGTGGCGAAGGCGAGGGAGGGCTTGGCTGTGGCGGGTAGGGAGGAGGAGCAGTGGGGACCTCGGGAGGCGAGGGGCTAGGCGGAGCCGGGTATGGAGGTGGCGGGCTGGGCGAGCGCGGGCTGGGTGACGGTGGCGAAGGCGAGGGAGGGCTTGGCTGTGGCGGGTAGGGAGGAGGATAGCTGGGGACCTCGGGAGGCGAGGGGCTAGGCGGAGCCGGGTATGGAGGTGGCGGGCTGGGCGAGGGCGGGCTGGGTGACGGTGGCGAAGGCGAGGGAGGGCTTGGCTGTGGCGGGTAGGGAGGAGGAGCAGTGGGGACCTCGGGAGGCGAGGGGCTGGGCGGAGCCGGGTATGGAGGCGGCGGGCTGGGCGAGGGCGGGCTGGGTGACGGTGGCGAAGGCGAGGGCGGGCTTGGCTGTGGCGGGTAGGGAGGAGGAGCAGTGGGGACCTCGGGAGGCGAGGGGCTGGGCGGAGCCGGGTATGGAGGTGGCGGGCTGGGCGAGGGCGGGCTGGGTGACGGTGGCGAAGGCGAGGGCGGGCTTGGCTGTGGCGGGTAGGGAGGAGGAGCAGTGGGGACCTCGGGAGGCGAGGGGCTAGGCGGAGCCGGGTATGGAGGCGGCGGGCTGGGCGAGGGCGGGCTGGGTGACGGTGGCGAAGGCGAGGGCGGGCTTGGCTGTGGCGGGTAGGGAGGAGGAGCAGTGGGGACCTCGGGAGGCGAGGGGCTAGGTGGAGCCGGGTATGGAGGTGGCGGGCTGGGCGAGGGCGGGCTGGGTGACGGTGGCGAAGGCGAGGGAGGGCTTGGCTGTGGCGGGTAGGGAGGAGAAGCAGTGGGGACCTCGGGAGGCGAGGGGCTGGGCGGAGCCGGGTATGGAGGCGGCGGGCTGGGCGAGGGCGGGCTGGGTGACGGTGGCGAAGGCGAGGGCGGACTTGGCTGTGGCGGGTAGGGAGGAGGAGCAGTGGGGACCTCGGGAGGCGAGGGGCTAGGCGGAGCCGGGTATGGAGGTGGCGGGCTGGGCGAGGGCGGGCTGGGTGACGGTGGCGAAGGCGAGGGAGGGCTTGGCTGTGGCGGGTAGGGAGGAGGAGCAGTGGGGACCTCGGGAGGCGAGGGGCTGGGCGGAGCCGGGTATGGAGGCGGCGGGCTGGGCGAGGGCGGGCTGGGTGACGGTGGCGAAGGCGAGGGTGGGCTTGGCTGTGGCGGGTAGGGAGGAGGATAGCTGGGGACCTCGGGAGGCGAGGGGCTGGGCGGAGCCGGGTATGGAGGCGGCGGGCTGGGCGAGGGCGGGCTGGGTGACGGTGGCGAAGGCGAGGGCGGGCTTGGCTGTGGCGGGTAGGGAGGAGGAGCAGTGGGGACATCGGGAGGCGAGGGGCTGGGCGGAGCCGGGTATGGAGGCGGCGGGCTGGGCGAGGGCGGGCTGGGTGACGGTGGCGAAGGCGAGGGCGGGCTTGGCTGTGGCGGGTAGGGAGGAGGAGCAGTGGGGACCTCGGGAGGCGAGGGGCTAGGTGGAGCCGGGTATGGAGGTGGCGGGCTGGGCGAGGGCGGGCTGGGTGACGGTGGCGAAGGCGAGGGTGGGCTTGGCTGTGGCGGGTAGGGAGGAGGAGCAGTGGGGACCTCGGGAGGCGAGGGGCTGGGCGGAGCCGGGTATGGAGGCGGCGGGCTGGGCGAGGGCGGGCTGGGTGACGGTGGCGAAGGCGAGGGCGGGCTTGGCTGTGGCGGGTAAGGAGGAGGAGCAGTGGGGACCTCGGGAGGCGAGGGGCTAGGCGGAGCCGGGTATGGAGGTGGCGGGCTGGGCGAGGGCGGGCTGGGTGACGGTGGCGAAGGCGAGGGCGGGCTTGGCTGTGGCGGGTAGGGAGGAGGAGCAGTGGGGACCTCGGGAGGCGAGGGGCTAGGCGGAGCCGGGTATGGAGGTGGCGGTCTGGGCGAGGGCGGGCTGGGTGACGGTGGCGAAGGCGAGGGTGGGCTGGGCTGTGGCGGATAGGGAGGAGGAGCAGTCGGGACCTCGGGAGGCGAGGGGCTAGGTGGAGTCGGGTATGGAGGTGGCGGGCTGGGCGAGGGCGGGCTGGGTGACGGTGGCGAAGGCGAGGGCGGGCTTGGCTGTGGCGGGCAGGGAGGAGGAGCAGTGGGGACCTCGGGAGGCGAGGGGCTAGGCGGAGCCGGGTATGGAGGTGGCGGGCTGGGCGAGGGCGGGCTGGGTGACGGTGGCGAAGGCGAGGGTGGGCTTGGCTGTGGCGGGTAGGGAGGAGGAGCAGTGGGGACCTCGGGAGGCGAGGGGCTAGGTGGAGTCGGGTATGGAGGCGGCGGGCTGGGCGAGGGCGGGCTGGGTGACGGTGGCGAAGGCGAGGGCGGACTTGGCTGTGGCGGGTAGGGAGGAGGAGCAGTGGGGACCTCGGGAGGCGAGGGGCTGGGCGGAGCCGGGTATGGAGGCGGCGGGCTGGGCGAGGGCGGGCTGGGTGACGGTGGCGAAGGCGAGGGCGGACTTGGCTGTGGCGGGTAGGGAGGAGGAGCAGTGGGGACCTCGGGAGGCGAGGGGCTAGGCGGAGCCGGGTATGGAGGTGGCGGGCTGGGCGAGGGCGGGCTGGGTGACGGTGGCGAAGGCGAGGGCGGACTTGGCTGTGGCGGGTAGGGAGGAGGAGCAGTGGGGACCTCGGGAGGCGAGGGGCTAGGCGGAGCCGGGTATGGAGGTGGCGGGCTGGGCGAGCGCGGGCTGGGTGACGGTGGCGAAGGCGAGGGCGGACTTGGCTGTGGCGGGTAGGGAGGAGGAGCAGTGGGGACCTCGGGAGGCGAGGGGCTAGGCGGAGCCGGGTATGGAGGTGGCGGGCTGGGCGAGGGCGGGCTGGGTGACGGTGGCGAAGGCGAGGGCGGACTTGGCTGTGGCGGGTAGGGAGGAGGAGCAGTGGGGACCTCGGGAGGCGAGGGGCTAGGCGGAGCCGGGTATGGAGGTGGCGGGCTGGGCGAGCGCGGGCTGGGTGACGGTGGCGAAGGCGAGGGAGGGCTTGGCTGTGGCGGGTAGGGAGGAGGAGCAGTGGGGACCTCGGGAGGCGAGGGGCTGGGCGGAGCCGGGTATGGAGGTGGCGGGCTGGGCGAGGGCGGGCTGGGTGACGGTGGCGAAGGCGAGGGCGGACTTGGCTGTGGCGGGTAGGGAGGAGGATAGCTGGGGACCTCGGGAGGCGAGGGGCTAGGCGGAGCCGGGTATGGAGGTGGCGGGCTGGGCGAGCGGCGGGCTGGGTGACGGTGGCGAAGGCGAGGGAGGGCTTGGCTGTGGCGGGTAGGGAGGAGGAGCAGTGGGGACCTCGGGAGGCGAGGGGCTAGGCGGAGCCGGGTATGGAGGTGGCGGGCTGGGCGAGGGCGGGCTGGGTGACGGTGGCGAAGGCGAGGGCGGGCTTGGCTGTGGCGGGTAGGGAGGAGGAGCAGTGGGGACCTCGGGAGGCGAGGGGCTGGGCGGAGCCGGGTATGGAGGCGGCGGGCTGGGCGAGGGCGGGCTGGGTGACGGTGGCGAAGGCGAGGGCGGGCTTGGCTGTGGCGGGTAGGGAGGAGGAGCAGTGGGGACCTCGGGAGGCGAGGGGCTGGGCGGAGCCGGGTATGGAGGTGGCGGGCTGGGCGAGGGCGGGCTGGGTGACGGTGGCGAAGGCGAGGGCGGGCTTGGCTGTGGCGGGTAGGGAGGAGGAGCAGTGGGGACCTCGGGAGGCGAGGGGCTAGGCGGAGCCGGGTATGGAAGTGGCGGGCTGGGCGAGGGCGGGCTGGGTGACGGTGGCGAAGGCGAGGGCGGGACTTGGCTGTGGCGGGTAGGGAGGAGGAGCAGTGGGGACCTCGGGAGGCGAGGGGCTAGGCGGAGCCGGGTATGGAGGTGGCGGGCTGGGCGAGGGCGGGCTGGGTGACGGTGGCGAAGGCGAGGGAGGGCTTGGCTGTGGCGGGTAGGGAGGAGGAGCAGTGGGGACCTCGGGAGGCGAGGGGCTGGGCGGAGCCGGGTATGGAGGCGGCGGGCTGGGCGAGGGCGGGCTGGGTGACGGTGGCGAAGGCGAGGGCGGGCTTGGCTGTGGCGGGTAGGGAGGAGGAGCAGTGGGGACCTCGGGAGGCGAGGGGCTAGGGCGGAGCCGGGTATGGAGGTGGCGGGCTGGGCGAGGGCGGGCTGGGTGACGGTGGCGAAGGCGAGGGCGGGCTTGGCTGTGGCGGGTAGGGAGGAGGAGCAGTGGGGACCTCGGGAGGCGAGGGGCTAGGCGGAGCCGGGTATGGAGGCTGGCGGGCTGGGCGAGGGCGGGCTGGGTGACGGTGGCGAAGGCGAGGGCGGGCTTGGCTGTGGCGGGTAGGGAGGAGGAGCAGTGGGGACCTCGGGAGGCGAGGGGCTAGGTGGAGCCGGGTATGGAGGTGGCGGGCTGGGCGAGGGCGGGCTGGGTGACGGTGGCGAAGGCGAGGGAGGGCTTGGCTGTGGCGGGTAGGGAGGAGGAGCAGTGGGGACCTCGGGAGGCGAGGGGCTAGGGCGAGCCGGGTAAGGAGGCGGCGGGCTGGGCGAGGGCGGGCTGGGTGACGGTGGCGAAGGCGAGGGCGGGCTTGGCTGTGGCGGGTAGGGAGGAGGAGCAGTGGGGACCTCGGGAGGCGAGGGGCTAGGCGGAGCCGGGTATGGAGGTGGCGGGCTGGGCGAGGGCGGGCTGGGTGACGGTGGCGAAGGCGAGGGAGGGCTTGGCTGTGGCGGGTAGGGAGGAGGAGCAGTGGGGACCTCGGGAGGCGAGGGGCTAGGGCGGAGCCGGGTATGGAGGCGGCGGGCTGGGCGAGGGCGGGCTGGGTGACGGTGGCGAAGGCGAGGGTGGGCTTGGCTGTGGCGGGTAGGGAGGAGGAGCAGCTGGGGACCTCGGGAGGCGAGGGGCTAGGCGGAGCCGGGTATGGAGGCGGCGGGCTGGGCGAGGGCGGGCTGGGTGACGGTGGCGAAGGCGAGGGCGGGCTTGGCTGTGGCGGGTAGGGAGGAGGAGCAGTGGGGACCTCGGGAGGCGAGGGGCTAGGTGGAGTCGGGTATGGAGGTGGCGGGCTGGGCGAGGGCGGGCTGGGTGACGGTGGCGAAGGCGAGGGCGGGCTTGGCTGTGGCGGGTAGGGAGGAGGAGCAGTGGGGACCTCGGGAGGCGAGGGGCTAGGCGGAGCCGGGTATGGAGGTGGCGGGCTGGGCGAGGGCGGGCTGGGTGACGGTGGCGAAGGCGAGGGCGGGCTTGGCTGTGGCGGGTAGGGAGGAGGAGCAGTGGGGACCTCGGGAGGCGAGGGGCTAGGCGGAGCCGGGTATGGAGGTGGCGGGCTGGGCGAGGGCGGGCTGGGTGACGGTGGCGAAGGCGAGGGTGGGCTTGGCTGTGGCGGGTAGGGAGGAGGAGCAGTGGGGACCTCGGGAGGCGAGGGGCTAGGTGGAGCCGGGTATGGAGGTGGCGGGCTGGGCGAGGGCGGGCTGGGTGACGGTGGCGAAGGCGAGGGCGGGCTTGGCTGTGGCGGGTAGGGAGGAGGAGCAGTGGGGACCTCGGGAGGCGAGGGGCTAGGCGGAGCCGGGTATGGAGGTGGCGGGCTGGGCGAGGGCGGGCTGGGTGACGGTGGCGAAGGCGAGGGTGGGCTTGGCTGTGGCGGGTAGGGAGGAGGAGCAGTGGGGACCTCGGGAGGCGAGGGGCTAGGTGGAGCCGGGTATGGAGGCGGCGGGCTGGGCGAGGGCGGGCTGGGTGACGGTGGCGAAGGCGAGGGCGGGACTTGGCTGTGGCGGGTAGGGAGGAGGAGCAGTGGGGACCTCGGGAGGCGAGGGGCTAGGCGGAGCCGGGTATGGAGGTGGCGGGCTGGGCGAGGGCGGGCTGGGTGACGGTGGCGAAGGCGAGGGCGGGCTTGGCTGTGGCGGGTAGGGAGGAGGAGCAGTGGGGACCTCGGGAGGCGAGGGGCTAGGCGGAGCCGGGTATGGAGGTGGCGGGCTGGGCGAGGGCGGGCTGGGTGACGGTGGCGAAGGCGAGGGCGGGCTTGGCTGTGGCGGGTAGGGAGGAGGAGCAGTGGGGACCTCGGGAGGCGAGGGGCTAGGGCGGAGCCGGGTATGGAGGTGGCGGGCTGGGCGAGGGCGGGCTGGGTGACGGTGGCGAAGGCGAGGGCGGGCTTGGCTGTGGCGGGTAGGGAGGAGGAGCAGTGGGGACCTCGGGAGGCGAGGGGCTAGGGCGGAGCCGGGTATGGAGGTGGCGGGCTGGGCGAGGGCGGGCTGGGTGACGGTGGCGAAGGCGAGGGCGGGCTTGGCTGTGGCGGGTAGGGAGGAGGAGCAGTGGGGACCTCGGGAGGCGAGGGGCTAGGCGGAGCCGGGTATGGAGGCGGCGGGCTGGGCGAGGGCGGGCTGGGTGACGGTGGCGAAGGCGAGGGCGGGCTTGGCTGTGGCGGGTAGGGAGGAGGAGCAGTGGGGACCTCGGGAGGCGAGGGGCTAGGTCGGAGCCGGGTATGGAGGTGGCGGGCTGGGCGAGGGCGGGCTGGGTGACGGTGGCGAAGGCGAGGGAGGGCTTGGCTGTGGCGGGTAGGGAGGAGGAGCAGTGGGGACCTCGGGAGGCGAGGGGCTAGGCGGAGCCGGGTATGGAGGCGGCGGGCTGGGCGAGGGCGGGCTGGGTGACGGTGGCGAAGGCGAGGGCGGGCTTGGCTGTGGCGGGTAGGGAGGAGGAGCAGTGGGGACCTCGGGAGGCGAGGGGCTAGGCGGAGCCGGGTATGGAGGTGGCGGGCTGGGCGAGGGCGGGCTGGGTGACGGTGGCGAAGGCGAGGGAGGGCTTGGCTGTGGCGGGTAGGGAGGAGGAGCAGTGGGGACCTCGGGAGGCGAGGGGCTAGGGCGGAGCCGGGTATGGAGGCGGCGGGCTGGGCGAGGGCGGGCTGGGTGACGGTGGCGAAGGCGAGGGCGGGCTTGGCTGTGGCGGGTAGGGAGGAGGAGCAGTGGGGACCTCGGGAGGCGAGGGGCTAGGCGGAGCCGGGTATGGAGGCGGCGGGCTGGGCGAGGGCGGGCTGGGTGACGGTGGCGAAGGCGAGGGCGGGCTTGGCTGTGGCGGGTAGGGAGGAGGAGCAGTGGGGACCTCGGGAGGCGAGGGGCTAGGCTGGAGCCGGGTATGGAGGCGGCGGGCTGGGCGAGGGCGGGCTGGGTGACGGTGGCGAAGGCGAGGGCGGGCTTGGCTGTGGCGGGTAGGGAGGAGGAGCAGTGGGGACCTCGGGAGGCGAGGGGCTAGGCGGAGCCGGGTATGGAGGTGGCGGGCTGGGCGAGGGCGGGCTGGGTGACGGTGGCGAAGGCGAGGGCGGGCTTGGCTGTGGCGGGTAGGGAGGAGGAGCAGTGGGGACCTCGGGAGGCGAGGGGCTAGGCGGAGCCGGGTATGGAGGTGGCGGGCTGGGCGAGGGCGGGCTGGGTGACGGTGGCGAAGGCGAGGGTGGGCTTGGCTGTGGCGGGTAGGGAGGAGGAGCAGTGGGGACCTCGGGAGGCGAGGGGCTAGGTGGAGCCGGGTATGGAGGTGGCGGGCTGGGCGAGGGCGGGCTGGGTGACGGTGGCGAAGGCGAGGGCGGGCTTGGCTGTGGCGGGTAGGGAGGAGGAGCAGTGGGGACCTCGGGAGGCGAGGGGCTAGGCGGAGCCGGGTATGGAGGTGGCGGGCTGGGCGAGGGCGGGCTGGGTGACGGTGGCGAAGGCGAGGGTGGGCTTGGCTGTGGCGGGTAGGGAGGAGGAGCAGTGGGGACCTCGGGAGGCGAGGGGCTAGGTGGAGCCGGGTATGGAGGCGGCGGGCTGGGCGAGGGCGGGCTGGGTGACGGTGGCGAAGGCGAGGGCGGGCTTGGCTGTGGCGGGTAGGGAGGAGGAGCAGTGGGGACCTCGGGAGGCGAGGGGCTAGGCGGAGCCGGGTATGGAGGTGGCGGGCTGGGCGAGGGCGGGCTGGGTGACGGTGGCGAAGGCGAGGGCGGGCTTGGCTGTGGCGGGTAGGGAGGAGGAGCAGTGGGGACCTCGGGAGGCGAGGGGCTAGGTGGAGCCGGGTATGGAGGTGGCGGGCTGGGCGAGGGCGGGCTGGGTGACGGTGGCGAAGGCGAGGGCGGGCTTGGCTGTGGCGGGTAGGGAGGAGGAGCAGTGGGGACCTCGGGAGGCGAGGGGCTAGGGCGGAGCCGGGTATGGAGGCGGCGGGCTGGGCGAGGGCGGGCTGGGTGACGGTGGCGAAGGCGAGGGCGGGCTTGGCTGTGGCGGGTAGGGAGGAGGAGCAGTGGGGACCTCGGGAGGCGAGGGGCTAGGGCGGAGCCGGGTATGGAGGTGGCGGGCTGGGCGAGGGCGGGCTGGGTGACGGTGGCGAAGGCGAGGGCGGGCTTGGCTGTGGCGGGTAGGGAGGAGGAGCAGTGGGGACCTCGGGAGGCGAGGGGCTAGGCGGAGCCGGGTATGGAGGCGGCGGGCTGGGCGAGGGCGGGCTGGGTGACGGTGGCGAAGGCGAGGGCGGGCTTGGCTGTGGCGGGTAGGGAGGAGGAGCAGTGGGGACCTCGGGAGGCGAGGGGCTAGGTCGGAGCCGGGTATGGAGGTGGCGGGCTGGGCGAGGGCGGGCTGGGTGACGGTGGCGAAGGCGAGGGAGGGCTTGGCTGTGGCGGGTAGGGAGGAGGAAGCAGTGGGGACCTCGGGAGGCGAGGGGCTAGGGCGGAGCCGGGTATGGAGGCGGCGGGCTGGGCGAGGGCGGGCTGGGTGACGGTGGCGAAGGCGAGGGCGGGCTTGGCTGTGGCGGGTAGGGAGGAGGAGCAGTGGGGACCTCGGGAGGCGAGGGGCTAGGCGGAGCCGGGTATGGAGGTGGCGGGCTGGGCGAGGGCGGGCTGGGTGACGGTGGCGAAGGCGAGGGAGGGCTTGGCTGTGGCGGGTAGGGAGGAGGAGCAGTGGGGACCTCGGGAGGCGAGGGGCTGGGCGGAGCCGGGTATGGAGGCGGCGGGCTGGGCGAGGGCGGGCTGGGTGACGGTGGCGAAGGCGAGGGTGGGCTTGGCTGTGGCGGGTAGGGAGGAGGAGCAGCTGGGGACCTCGGGAGGCGAGGGGCTAGGCGGAGCCGGGTATGGAGGCGGCGGGCTGGGCGAGGGCGGGCTGGGTGACGGTGGCGAAGGCGAGGGCGGGCTTGGCTGTGGCGGGTAGGGAGGAGGAGCAGTGGGGACCTCGGGAGGCGAGGGGCTAGGCTGGAGTCCGGGTATGGAGGCGGCGGGCTGGGCGAGGGCGGGCTGGGTGACGGTGGCGAAGGCGAGGGCGGGCTTGGCTGTGGCGGGTAGGGAGGAGGAGCAGTGGGGACCTCGGGAGGCGAGGGGCTAGGCGGAGCCGGGTATGGAGGTGGCGGGCTGGGCGAGGGCGGGCTGGGTGACGGTGGCGAAGGCGAGGGCGGGCTTGGCTGTGGCGGGTAGGGAGGAGGAGCAGTGGGGACCTCGGGAGGCGAGGGGCTAGGCGGAGCCGGGTATGGAGGTGGCGGTCTGGGCGAGGGCGGGCTGGGTGACGGTGGCGAAGGCGAGGGTGGGCTGGGCTGTGGCGGATAGGGAGGAGGAGCAGTCGGGACCTCGGGAGGCGAGGGGCTAGGTGGAGCCGGGTATGGAGGTGGCGGGCTGGGCGAGGGCGGGCTGGGTGACGGTGGCGAAGGCGAGGGCGGGCTTGGCTGTGGCGGGTAGGGAGGAGGAGCAGTGGGGACCTCGGGAGGCGAGGGGCTAGGCGGAGCCGGGTATGAAGGTGGCGCGCTGGGCGAGGGCGGGCTGGGTGACGGTGGCGAAGGCGAGGGTGGGCTTGGCTGTGGCGGGTAGGGAGGAGGAGCAGTGGGGACCTCGGGAGGCGAGGGGCTAGGCGGAGCCGGGTATGGAGGCGGCGGGCTGGGCGAGGGCGGGCTGGGTGACGGTGGCGAAGGCGAGGGCGGGACTTGGCTGTGGCGGGTAGGGAGGAGGATAGCTGGGGACCTCGGGAGGCGAGGGGCTAGGCGGAGCCGGGTATGGAGGTGGCGGGCTGGGCGAGGGCGGGCTGGGTGACGGTGGCGAAGGCGAGGGTGGGCTTGGCTGTGGCGGGTAGGGAGGAGGAGCAGTGGGGACCTCGGGAGGCGAGGGGCTAGGCGGAGCCGGGTATGGAGGTGGCGGGCTGGGCGAGGGCGGGCTGGGTGACGGTGGCGAAGGCGAGGGCGGGCTTGGCTGTGGCGGGTAGGGAGGAGGAGCAGTGGGGACCTCGGGAGGCGAGGGGCTAGGCGGAGCCGGGTATGGAGGTGGCGGTCTGGGCGAGGGCGGGCTGGGTGACGGTGGCGAAGGCGAGGGTGGGCTGGGCTGTGGCGGATAGGGAGGAGGAGCAGTGGGGACCTCGGGAGGCGTGGGGCTAGGTGGAGCCGGGTATGGAGGTGGCGGGCTGGGCGAGGGCGGGCTGGGTGACGGTGGCGAAGGCGAGGGCGGGCTTGGCTGTGGCGGGTAGGGAGGAGGAGCAGTGGGGACCTCGGGAGGCGAGGGGCTAGGCGGAGCCGGGTATGGAGGTGGCGGGCTGGGCGAGGGCGGGCTGGGTGACGGTGGCGAAGGCGAGGGTGGGCTTGGCTGTGGCGGGTAGGGAGGAGGAGCAGTGGGGACCTCGGGAGGCGAGGGGCTAGGTGGAGCCGGGTATGGAGGTGGCGGGCTGGGCGAGGGCGGGCTGGGTGACGGTGGCGAAGGCGAGGGCGGGCTTGGCTGTGGCGGGTAGGGAGGAGGAGCAGTGGGGACCTCGGGAGGCGAGGGGCTGGGCGGAGCCGGGTATGAAGGTGGCGGGCTGGGCGAGGGCGGGCTGGGTGACGGAGGCGAAGGCGAGGGAGGGCTTGGCTGTGGCGGGTAGGGAGGAGGAGCAGTGGGGACCTCGGGAGGCGAGGGGCTAGGTGGAGTCGGGTATGGAGGTGGCGGGCTGGGCGAGGGCGGGCTGGGTGACGGTGGCGAAGGCGAGGGCGGGCTTGGCTGTGGCGGGTAGGGAGGAGGAGCAGTGGGGACCTCGGGAGGCGAGGGGCTAGGCGGAGCCGGGTATGGAGGTGGCGGTCTGGGCGAGGGCGGGCTGGGTGACGGTGGCGAAGGCGAGGGTGGGCTGGGCTGTGGCGGATAGGGAGGAGGAGCAGTGGGGACCTCGGGAGGCGAGGGGCTAGGTGGAGCCGGGTATGGAGGTGGCGGGCTGGGCGAGGGCGGGCTGGGTGACGGTGGCGAAGGCGAGGGCGGGCTTGGCTGTGGCGGGTAGGGAGGAGGAGCAGTGGGGACCTCGGGAGGCGAGGGGCTAGGCGGAGCCGGGTATGGAGGTGGCGGGCTGGGCGAGGGCGGGCTGGGTGACGGTGGCGAAGGCGAGGGCGGGCTTGGCTGTGGCGGGTAGGGAGGAGGAGCAGTGGGGACCTCGGGAGGCGAGGGGCTAGGTGGAGCCGGGTATGGAGGTGGCGGGCTGGGCGAGGGCGGGCTGGGTGACGGTGGCGAAGGCGAGGGCGGACTTGGCTGTGGCGGGTAGGGAGGAGGAGCAGTGGGGACCTCGGGAGGCGAGGGACTAGGCGGAGCCGGGTATGGAGGTGGCGGGCTGTGCGAGGGCGGGCTGGGTGACGGTGGCGAAGGCGAGGGCGGGCTTGGCTGCGGCGGGTAGGGAGGAGGATAGCTGGGGACCTCGGGAGGCGAGGGGCTGGGCGGAGCCGGGTATGGAGGCGGCGGGCTGGGCGAGGGCGGGCTGGGTGACGGTGGCGAAGGCGAGGGCGGGCTTGGCTGTGGCGGGTAGGGAGGAGGAGCAGTGGGGACCTCGGGAGGCGAGGGGCTGGGCGGAGCCGGGTATGGAGGCGGCGGGCTGGGCGAGGGCGGGCTGGGTGACGGTGGCGAAGGCGAGGGAGGGCTTGGCTGTGGCGGGTAGGGAGGAGGAGCAGTGGGGACCTCGGGAGGCGAGGGGCTAGGCGGAGCCGGGTATGGAGGTGGCGGGCTGGGCGAGGGCGGGCTGGGTGACGGTGGCGAAGGCGAGGGAGGGCTTGGCTGTGGCGGGTAGGGAGGAGGAGCAGTGGGGACCTCGGGAGGCGAGGGGCTAGGCGGAGCCGGGTATGGAGGTGGCGGGCTGGGCGAGGGCGGGCTGGGTGACGGTGGCGAAGGCGAGGGCGGGCTTGGCTGTGGCGGGTAGGGAGGAGGAGCAGTGGGGACCTCGGGAGGCGAGGGACTAGGTGGAGCCGGGTATGGAGGTGGCGGGCTGGGCGAGGGCGGGCTGGGTGACGGTGGCGAAGGCGAGGGCGGGCTTGGCTGTGGCGGGTAGGGAGGAGGAGCAGTGGGGACCTCGGGAGGCGAGGGGCTAGGTGGAGCCGGGTATGGAGTTGGCGGGCTGGGCGAGGGCGGGCTGGGTGACGGTGGCGAAGGCGAGGGCGGGCTTGGCTGTGGCGGGTAGGGAGGAGGAGCAGTGGGGACCTCGGGAGGCGAGGGGCTGGGCGGAGCCGGGTATGGAGGCGGCGGGCTGGGCGAGGGCGGGCTGGGTGACGGTGGCGAAGGCGAGGGCGGGCTTGGCTGTGGCGGGTAAGGAGGAGGAGCAGTGGGGACCTCGGGAGGCGAGGGGCTGGGCGGAGCCGGGTATGGAGGTGGCGGGCTGGGCGAGGGCGGGCTGGGTGACGGTGGCGAAGGCGAGGGCGGGCTTGGCTGTGGCGGGTAGGGAGGAGGAGCAGTGGGGACCTCGGGAGGCGAGGGGCTAGGCGGAGCCGGGTATGGAGGTGGCGGGCTGGGCGAGGGCGGGCTGGGTGACGGTGGCGAAGGCGAGGGAGGGCTTGGCTGTGGCGGGTAGGGAGGAGGAGCAGTGGGGACCTCGGGAGGCGAGGGGCTAGGTGGAGCCGGGTATGGAGGTGGCGGGCTGGGCGAGGGCGGGCTGGGTGACGGTGGCGAAGGCGAGGGCGGGCTTGGCTGTGGCGGGTAGGGAGGAGGAGCAGTGGGGACCTCGGGAGGCGAGGGGCTAGGCGAAGCCGGGTATGGAGGTGGCGGGCTGGGCGAGGGCGGGCTGGGTGACGGTGGCGAAGGCGAGGGTGGGCTTGGCTGTAGCGGGTAGGGAGGAGGAGCAGTGGGGACCTCGGGAGGCGAGGGGGTAGGTGGAGCCGGGTATGGAGGTGGCGGGCTGGGCGAGGGCGGGCTGGGTGACGGTGGCGAAGGCGAGGGCGGGCTTGGCTGTGGCGGGTAGGGAGGAGGAGCAGTGGGGACCTCGGGAGGCGAGGGGCTGGGCGGAGCCGGGTATGGAGGTGGCGGGCTGGGCGAGGGCGGGCTGGGTGACGGTGGCGAAGGCGAGGGTGGGCTTGGCTGTGGCGGGTAGGGAGGAGGAGCAGTGGGGACCTCGGGAGGCGAGGGGCTAGGCGGAGCCGGGTATGGAGGTGGCGGGCTGGGCGAGGGCGGGCTGGGTGACGGTGGCGAAGGCGAGGGAGGGCTTGGCTGTGGCGGGTAGGGAGGAGGAGCAGTGGGGACCTCGGGAGGCGAGGGGCTAGGCGGAGCCGGGTATGGAGGTGGCGGGCTGGGCGAGGGCGGGCTGGGTGACGGTGGCGAAGGCGAGGGTGGGCTTGGCTGTGGCGGGTAGGGAGGAGGAGCAGTGGGGACCTCGGGAGGCGAGGGACTAGGCGGAGCCGGGTATGGAGGTGGCGGGCTGTGCGAGGGCGGGCTGGGTGACGGTGGCGAAGGCGAGGGCGGGCTTGGCTGTGGCGGGTAGGGAGGAGGAGCAGTGGGGACCTCGGGAGGCGAGGGGCTAGGCGGAGCCGGGTATGGAGGTGGCGGGCTGTGCGAGGGCGGGCTGGGTGACGGTGGCGAAGGCGAGGGTGGGCTTGGCTGTGGCGGGTAGGGAGGAGGAGCAGTGGGGACCTCGGGAGGCGAGGGGCTAGGCGGAGCCGGGTATGGAGGTGGCGGGCTGGGCGAGGGCGGGCTGGGTGACGGTGGCGAAGGCGAGGGTGGGCTTGGCTGTGGCGGGTAGGGAGGAGGAGCAGTGGGGACCTCGGGAGGCGAGGGACTAGGCGGAGCCGGGTATGGAGGTGGCGGGCTGGGCGAGGGCGGGCTGGGTGACGGTGGCGAAGGCGAGGGCGGGCTTGGCTGCGGCGGGTAGGGAGGAGGAGCAGTGGGGACCTCGGGAGGCGAGGGGCTGGGCGGAGCCGGGTATGGAGGCGGCGGGCTGGGCGAGGGCGGGCTGGGTGACGGTGGCGAAGGCGAGGGCGGGCTTGGCTGTGGCGGGTAAGGAGGAGGAGCAGTGGGGACCTCGGGAGGCGAGGGGCTAGGTGGAGCCGGGTATGGAGGTGGCGGGCTGGGCGAGGGCGGGCTGGGTGACGGTGGCGAAGGCGAGGGCGGGCTTGGCTGTGGCGGGTAGGGAGGAGGAGCAGTGGGGACCTCGGGAGGCGAGGGGCTGGGCGGAGCCGGGTATGGAGGCGGCGGGCTGGGCGAGGGCGGGCTGGGTGACGGTGGCGAAGGCGAGGGCGGGCTTGGCTGTGGCGGGTAGGGAGGAGGAGCAGTGGGGACCTCGGGAGGCGAGGGGCTAGGTGGAGCCGGGTATGGAGGTGGCGGGCTGGGCGAGGGCGGGCTGGGTGACGGAGGCGAAGGCGAGGGAGGGCTTGGCTGTGGCGGGTAGGGAGGAGAAGCAGTGGGGACCTCGGGAGGCGAGGGGCTGGGCGGAGCCGGGTATGGAGGCGGCGGGCTGGGCGAGGGCGGGCTGGGTGACGGTGGCGAAGGCGAGGGCGGACTTGGCTGTGGCGGGTAGGGAGGAGGAGCAGTGGGGACCTCGGGAGGCGAGGGGCTAGGCGGAGCCGGGTATGGAGGTGGCGGGCTGGGCGAGGGCGGGCTGGGTGACGGTGGCGAAGGCGAGGGAGGGCTTGGCTGTGGCGGGTAGGGAGGAGGAGCAGTGGGGACCTCGGGAGGCGAGGGGCTGGGCGGAGCCGGGTATGGAGGCGGCGGGCTGGGCGAGGGCGGGCTGGGTGACGGTGGCGAAGGCGAGGGCGGGCTTGGCTGTGGCGGGTAGGGAGGAGGATAGCTGGGGACCTCGGGAGGCGAGGGGCTAGGCGGAGCCGGGTATGGAGGCGGCGGGCTGGGCGAGGGCGGGCTGGGTGACGGTGGCGAAGGCGAGGGCGGGCTTGGCTGTGGCGGGTAGGGAGGAGGAGCAGTGGGGACATCGGGAGGCGAGGGGCTAGGTGGAGTCGGGTATGGAGGCGGCGGGCTGGGCGAGGGCGGGCTGGGTGACGGTGGCGAAGGCGAGGGCGGGCTTGGCTGTGGCGGGTAAGGAGGAGGAGCAGTGGGGACCTCGGGAGGCGAGGGGCTAGGCGGAGCCGGGTATGGAGGTGGCGGGCTGGGCGAGGGCGGGCTGGGTGACGGTGGCGAAGGCGAGGGCGGGCTTGGCTGTGGCGGGTAGGGAGGAGGAGCAGTGGGGACCTCGGGAGGCGAGGGGCTAGGCGGAGCCGGGTATGGAGGTGGCGGGCTGGGCGAGGGCGGGCTGGGTGACGGAGGCGAAGGCGAGGGAGGGCTTGGCTGCGGCGGGTAGGGAGGAGGAGCAGTGGGGACCTCGGGAGGCGAGGGGCTAGGTGGAGCCGGGTATGGAGGTGGCGGGCTGGGCGAGGGCGGGCTGGGTGACGGTGGCGAAGGCGAGGGTGGGCTTGGCTGTGGCGGGTAGGGAGGAGGAGCAGTGGGGACCTCGGGAGGCGAGGGGCTAGGTGGAGCCGGGTATGGAGGTGGCGGGCTGGGCGAGGGCGGGCTGGGTGACGGTGGCGAAGGCGAGGGCGGGCTTGGCTGTGGCGGGTAGGGAGGAGGAGCAGTGGGGACCTCGGGAGGCGAGGGGCTGGGCGGAGCCGGGTATGGAGGTGGCGGGCTGGGCGAGGGCGGGCTGGGTGACGGTGGCGAAGGCGAGGGCGGGCTTGGCTGTGGCGGGTAAGGAGGAGGAGCAGTGGGGACCTCGGGAGGCGAGGGGCTAGGCGAAGCCGGGTATGGAGGTGGCGGGCTGGGCGAGGGCGGGCTGGGTGACGGTGGCGAAGGCGAGGGTGGGCTTGGCTGTAGCGGGTAGGGAGGAGGAGCAGTGGGGACCTCGGGAGGCGAGGGGGTAGGTGGAGCCGGGTATGGAGGTGGCGGGCTGGGCGAGGGCGGGCTGGGTGACGGTGGCGAAGGCGAGGGCGGGCTTGGCTGTGGCGGGTAGGGAGGAGGAGCAGTGGGGACCTCGGGAGGCGAGGGGCTAGGCGGAGCCGGGTATGGAGGTGGCGGGCTGGGCGAGGGCGGGCTGGGTGACGGTGGCGAAGGCGAGGGCGGGCTTGGCTGTGGCGGGTAGGGAGGAGGAGCAGTGGGGACCTCGGGAGGCGAGGGGCTAGGCGGAGCCGGGTATGGAGGTGGCGGGCTGGGCGAGGGCGGGCTGGGTGACGGTGGCGAAGGCGAGGGAGGGCTTGGCTGTGGCAGGTAGGGAGGAGGAGCAGTGGGGACCTCGGGAGGCGAGGGGCTAGGCGGAGCCGGGTATGGAGGTGGCGGGCTGGGCGAGGGCGGGCTGGGTGACGGTGGCGAAGGCGAGGGTGGGCTTGGCTGTGGCGGGTAGGGAGGAGGAGCAGTGGGGACCTCGGGAGGCGAGGGACTAGGCGGAGCCGGGTATGGAGGTGGCGGGCTGTGCGAGGGCGGGCTGGGTGACGGTGGCGAAGGCGAGGGCGGGCTTGGCTGTGGCGGGTAGGGAGGAGGAGCAGTGGGGACCTCGGGAGGCGAGGGGCTAGGCGGAGCCGGGTATGGAGGTGGCGGGCTGTGCGAGGGCGGGCTGGGTGACGGTGGCGAAGGCGAGGGTGGGCTTGGCTGTGGCGGGTAGGGAGGAGGAGCAGTGGGGACCTCGGGAGGCGAGGGGCTAGGCGGAGCCGGGTATGGAGGTGGCGGGCTGGGCGAGGGCGGGCTGGGTGACGGTGGCGAAGGCGAGGGTGGGCTTGGCTGTGGCGGGTAGGGAGGAGGAGCAGTGGGGACCTCGGGAGGCGAGGGACTAGGCGGAGCCGGGTATGGAGGTGGCGGGCTGGGCGAGGGCGGGCTGGGTGACGGTGGCGAAGGCGAGGGCGGGCTTGGCTGTGGCGGGTAAGGAGGAGGAGCAGTGGGGACCTCGGGAGGCGAGGGGCTAGGCGGAGCCGGGTATGGAGGTGGCGGGCTGGGCGAGGGCGGGCTGGGTGACGGAGGCGAAGGCGAGGGAGGGCTTGGCTGCGGCGGGTAGGGAGGAGGAGCAGTGGGGACCTCGGGAGGCGAGGGGCTAGGCGGAGCCGGGTATGGAGGTGGCGGGCTGGGCGAGGGCGGGCTGGGTGACGGTGGCGAAGGCGAGGGTGGGCTTGGCTGTGGCGGGTAGGGAGGAGGAGCAGTGGGGACCTCGGGAGGCGAGGGGCTAGGTGGAGCCGGGTATGGAGGTGGCGGGCTGGGCGAGGGCGGGCTGGGTGACGGTGGCGAAGGCGAGGGAGGGCTTGGCTGTGGCGGGTAGGGAGGAGGAGCAGTGGGGACCTCGGGAGGCGAGGGGCTAGGTGGAGCCGGGTATGGAGGTGGCGGGCTGGGCGAGGGCGGGCTGGGTGACGGTGGCGAAGGCGAGGGCGGGCTTGGCTGTGGCGGGTAGGGAGGAGGAGCAGTGGGGACCTCGGGAGGCGAGGGGCTGGGCGGAGCCGGGTATGGAGGTGGCGGGCTGGGCGAGGGCGGGCTGGGTGACGGTGGCGAAGGCGAGGGCGGGCTTGGCTGTGGCGGGTAAGGAGGAGGAGCAGTGGGGACCTCGGGAGGCGAGGGGCTAGGTGGAGCCGGGTATGGAGGTGGCGGGCTGGGCGAGGGCGGGCTGGGTGACGGTGGCGAAGGCGAGGGCGGGCTTGGCTGCGGCGGGTAGGGAGGAGGAGCAGTGGGGACCTCGGGAGGCGAGGGGCTAGGCGGAGCCGGGTATGGAGGTGGCGGGCTGTGCGAGGGCGGGCTGGGTGACGGTGGCGAAGGCGAGGGTGGGCTTGGCTGTGGCGGGTAGGGAGGAGGAGCAGTGGGGACCTCGGGAGGCGAGGGGCTAGGCGGAGCCGGGTATGGAGGTGGCGGGCTGGGCGAGGGCGGGCTGGGTGACGGTGGCGAAGGCGAGGGTGGGCTTGGCTGTGGCGGGTAGGGAGGAGGAGCAGTGGGGACCTCGGGAGGCGAGGGACTAGGCGGAGCCGGGTATGGAGGTGGCGGGCTGTGCGAGGGCGGGCTGGGTGACGGTGGCGAAGGCGAGGGCGGGCTTGGCTGCGGCGGGTAGGGAGGAGGAGCAGTGGGGACCTCGGGAGGCGAGGGGCTAGGTGGAGCCGGGTATGGAGGTGGCGGGCTGGGCGAGGGCGGGCTGGGTGACGGTGGCGAAGGCGAGGGCGGGCTTGGCTGTGGCGGGTAGGGAGGAGGAGCAGTGGGGACCTCGGGAGGCGAGGGGCTAGGTGGAGCCGGGTATGGAGGTGGCGGGCTGGGCGAGGGCGGGCTGGGTGACGGTGGCGAAGGCGAGGGTGGGCTTGGCTGTGGCGGGTAGGGAGGAGGAGCAGTGGGGACCTCGGGAGGCGAGGGGCTAGGCGGAGCCGGGTATGGAGGTGGCGGGCTGGGCGAGGGCGGGCTGGGTGACGGTGGCGAAGGCGAGGGCGGGCTTGGCTGTGGCGGGTAGGGAGGAGGAGCAGTGGGGACCTCGGGAGGCGAGGGGCTAGGCGGAGCCGGGTATGGAGGTGGCGGGCTGGGCGAGGGCGGGCTGGGTGACGGAGGCGAAGGCGAGGGCGGGCTTGGCTGTGGCGGGTAGGGAGGAGGAGCAGTGGGGACCTCGGGAGGCGAGGGGCTAGGTGGAGTCGGGTATGGAGGTGGCGGGCTGGGCGAGGGCGGGCTGGGTGACGGTGGCGAAGGCGAGGGCGGGCTTGGCTGTGGCGGGTAGGGAGGAGGAGCAGTGGGGACCTCGGGAGGCGAGGGGCTAGGCGGAGCCGGGTATGGAGGCGGCGGGCTGGGCGAGGGCGGGCTGGGTGACGGTGGCGAAGGCGAGGGCGGGCTTGGCTGTGGCGGGTAGGGAGGAGGAGCAGTGGGGACCTCGGGAGGCGAGGGGCTGGGCGGAGCCGGGTATGGAGGCGGCGGGCTGGGCGAGGGTGGGCTGGGTGACGGTGGCGAAGGCGAGGGAGGGCTTGGCTGTGGCGGGTAGGGAGGAGGAGCAGTGGGGACCTCGGGAGGCGAGGGGCTAGGCGGAGCCGGGTATGGAGGTGGCAGGCTGGGCGAGGGCGGGCTGGGTGACGGTGGCGAAGGCGAGGGAGGGCTTGGCTGTGGCGGGTAGGGAGGAGGAGCAGTGGGGACCTCGGGAGGCGAGGGGCTAGGCGGAGCCGGGTATGGAGGTGGCGGGCTGGGCGAGGGCGGGCTGGGTGACGGTGGCGAAGGCGAGGGTGGGCTTGGCTGTGGCGGGTAGGGAGGAGGAGCAGTGGGGACCTCGGGAGGCGAGGGGCTAGGTGGAGCCGGGTATGGAGGTGGCGGGCTGGGCGAGGGTGGGCTGGGTGACGGTGGCGAAGGCGAGGGCGGGCTTGGCTGTGGCGGGTAGGGAGGAGGAGCAGTGGGGACCTCGGGAGGCGAGGGGCTAGGTGGAGCCGGGTATGGAGGTGGCAGGCTGGGCGAGGGCGGGCTGGGTGACGGTGGCGAAGGCGAGGGCGGGCTTGGCTGTGGCGGGTAGGGAGGAGGAGCAGTGGGGACCTCGGGAGGCGAGGGGCTAGGCGGAGTCGGGTATGGAGGTGGCGGGCTGGGCGAGGGCGGGCTGGGTGACGGTGGCGAAGGCGAAGGCGGGCTTGGCTGTGGCGGGTAGGGAGGAGGAGCAGTGGGGACCTCGGGAGGCGAGGGGCTAGGTGGAGCCGGGTATGGAGGTGGCGGGCTGGGCGAGGGCGGGCTGGGTGACGGTGGCGAAGGCGAGGGAGGGCTTGGCTGTGGCGGGTAGGGAGGAGGAGCAGTGGGGACCTCGGGAGGCGAGGGGCTAGGCGGAGCCGGGTATGGAGGTGGCGGGCTGGGCGAGGGCGGGCTGGGTGACGGTGGCGAAGGCGAGGGAGGGCTTGGCTGTGGCGGGTAGGGAGGAGGAGCAGTGGGGACCTCGGGAGGCGAGGGGCTAGGTGGAGCCGGGTATGGAGGTGGCGGGCTGGGCGAGGGCGGGCTGGGTGACGGTGGCGAAGGCGAAGGCGGGCTTGGCTGTGGCGGGTAGGGAGGAGGAGCAGTGGGGACCTCGGGAGGCGAGGGGCTAGGCGGAGTCGGGTATGGAGGTGGCGGGCTGGGCGAGGGCGGGCTGGGTGACGGTGGCGAAGGCGAGGGTGGGCTTGGCTGTGGCGGGTAGGGAGGAGGAGCAGTGGGGACCTCGGGAGGCGAGGGGCTAGGCGGAGCCGGGTATGGAGGTGGCGGGCTGGGCGAGGGCGGGCTGGGTGACGGTGGCGAAGGCGAGGGAGGGCTTGGCTGTGGCGGGTAGGGAGGAGGAGCAGTGGGGACCTCGGGAGGCGAGGGGCTAGGCGGAGCCGGGTATGGAGGTGGCGGGCTGGGCGAGGGCGGGCTGGGTGACGGTGGCGAAGGCGAGGGTGGGCTTGGCTGTGGCGGGTAGGGAGGAGGAGCAGTGGGGACCTCGGGAGGCGAGGGACTAGGCGGAGCCGGGTATGGAGGTGGCGGGCTGTGCGAGGGCGGGCTGGGTGACGGTGGCGAAGGCGAGGGCGGGCTTGGCTGTGGCGGGTAGGGAGGAGGAGCAGTGGGGACCTCGGGAGGCGAGGGGCTAGGCGGAGCCGGGTATGGAGGTGGCGGGCTGTGCGAGGGCGGGCTGGGTGACGGTGGCGAAGGCGAGGGTGGGCTTGGCTGTGGCGGGTAGGGAGGAGGAGCAGTGGGGACCTCGGGAGGCGAGGGGCTAGGCGGAGCCGGGTATGGAGGTGGCGGGCTGGGCGAGGGCGGGCTGGGTGACGGTGGCGAAGGCGAGGGTGGGCTTGGCTGTGGCGGGTAGGGAGGAGGAGCAGTGGGGACCTCGGGAGGCGAGGGACTAGGCGGAGCCGGGTATGGAGGTGGCGGGCTGGGCGAGGGCGGGCTGGGTGACGGTGGCGAAGGCGAGGGCGGGCTTGGCTGTGGCGGGTAAGGAGGAGGAGCAGTGGGGACCTCGGGAGGCGAGGGGCTAGGCGGAGCCGGGTATGGAGGTGGCGGGCTGGGCGAGGGCGGGCTGGGTGACGGAGGCGAAGGCGAGGGAGGGCTTGGCTGCGGCGGGTAGGGAGGAGGAGCAGTGGGGACCTCGGGAGGCGAGGGGCTAGGCGGAGCCGGGTATGGAGGTGGCGGGCTGGGCGAGGGCGGGCTGGGTGACGGTGGCGAAGGCGAGGGTGGGCTTGGCTGTGGCGGGTAGGGAGGAGGAGCAGTGGGGACCTCGGGAGGCGAGGGGCTAGGTGGAGCCGGGTATGGAGGTGGCGGGCTGGGCGAGGGCGGGCTGGGTGACGGTGGCGAAGGCGAGGGAGGGCTTGGCTGTGGCGGGTAGGGAGGAGGAGCAGTGGGGACCTCGGGAGGCGAGGGGCTAGGTGGAGCCGGGTATGGAGGTGGCGGGCTGGGCGAGGGCGGGCTGGGTGACGGTGGCGAAGGCGAGGGCGGGCTTGGCTGTGGCGGGTAGGGAGGAGGAGCAGTGGGGACCTCGGGAGGCGAGGGGCTGGGCGGAGCCGGGTATGGAGGTGGCGGGCTGGGCGAGGGCGGGCTGGGTGACGGTGGCGAAGGCGAGGGCGGGCTTGGCTGTGGCGGGTAAGGAGGAGGAGCAGTGGGGACCTCGGGAGGCGAGGGGCTAGGTGGAGCCGGGTATGGAGGTGGCGGGCTGGGCGAGGGCGGGCTGGGTGACGGTGGCGAAGGCGAGGGCGGGCTTGGCTGCGGCGGGTAGGGAGGAGGAGCAGTGGGGACCTCGGGAGGCGAGGGGCTAGGCGGAGCCGGGTATGGAGGTGGCGGGCTGTGCGAGGGCGGGCTGGGTGACGGTGGCGAAGGCGAGGGTGGGCTTGGCTGTGGCGGGTAGGGAGGAGGAGCAGTGGGGACCTCGGGAGGCGAGGGGCTAGGCGGAGCCGGGTATGGAGGTGGCGGGCTGGGCGAGGGCGGGCTGGGTGACGGTGGCGAAGGCGAGGGTGGGCTTGGCTGTGGCGGGTAGGGAGGAGGAGCAGTGGGGACCTCGGGAGGCGAGGGACTAGGCGGAGCCGGGTATGGAGGTGGCGGGCTGTGCGAGGGCGGGCTGGGTGACGGTGGCGAAGGCGAGGGCGGGCTTGGCTGCGGCGGGTAGGGAGGAGGAGCAGTGGGGACCTCGGGAGGCGAGGGGCTGGGCGGAGCCGGGTATGGAGGTGGCGGGCTGGGCGAGGGCGGGCTGGGTGACGGAGGCGAAGGCGAGGGAGGGCTTGGCTGCGGCGGGTAGGGAGGAGGAGCAGTGGGGACCTCGGGAGGCGAGGGGCTAGGCGGAGCCGGGTATGGAAGTGGCGGGCTGGGCGAGGGCGGGCTGGGTGACGGTGGCGAAGGCGAGGGGGGGCTTGGCTGTGGCGGGTAGGGAGGAGGAGCAGTGGGGACCTCGGGAGGCGAGGGGCTAGGTGGAGCCGGGTATGGAGGTGGCGGGCTGGGCGAGGGCGGGCTGGGTGACGGTGGCGAAGGCGAGGGTGGGCTTGGCTGTGGCGGGTAGGGAGGAGGAGCAGTGGGGACCTCGGGAGGCGAGGGGCTAGGTGGAGCCGGGTATGGAGGTGGCGGGCTGGGCGAGGGCGGGCTGGGTGACGGTGGCGAAGGCGAGGGCGGGCTTGGCTGTGGCGGGTAGGGAGGAGGAGCAGTGGGGACCTCGGGAGGCGAGGGGCTAGGCGGAGCCGGGTATGGAGGTGGCGGGCTGGGCGAGGGCGGGCTGGGTGACGGTGGCGAAGGCGAGGGTGGGCTTGGCTGTGGCGGGTAGGGAGGAGGAGCAGTGGGGACCTCGGGAGGCGAGGGGCTAGGCGGAGCCGGGTATGGAGGTGGCGGGCTGGGCGAGGGCGGGCTGGGTGACGGTGGCGAAGGCGAGGGCGGGCTTGGCTGTGGCGGGTAGGGAGGAGGAGCAGTGGGGACCTCGGGAGGCGAGGGGCTAGGCGGAGCCGGGTATGGAGGTGGCGGGCTGGGCGAGGGCGGGCTGGGTGACGGTGGCGAAGGCGAGGGCGGGCTTGGCTGTGGCGGGTAGGGAGGAGGAGCAGTGGGGACCTCGGGAGGCGAGGGGCTAGGTGGAGTCGGGTATGGAGGCGGCGGGCTGGGCGAGGGCGGGCTGGGTGACGGTGGCGAAGGCGAGGGCGGGCTTGGCTGTGGCGGGTAGGGAGGAGGAGCAGTGGGGACCTCGGGAGGCGAGGGGCTAGGCGGAGCCGGGTATGGAGGCGGCGGGCTGGGCGAGGGCGGGCTGGGTGACGGTGGCGAAGGCGAGGGCGGGCTTGGCTGCGGCGGGTAGGGAGGAGGAGCAGTGGGGACCTCGGGAGGCGAGGGGCTGGGCGGAGCCGGGTATGGAGGCGGCGGGCTGGGCGAGGGTGGGCTGGGTGACGGTGGCGAAGGCGAGGGAGGGCTTGGCTGTGGCGGGTAGGGAGGAGGAGCAGTGGGGACCTCGGGAGGCGAGGGGCTAGGCGGAGCCGGGTATGGAGGTGGCAGGCTGGGCGAGGGCGGGCTGGGTGACGGTGGCGAAGGCGAGGGAGGGCTTGGCTGTGGCGGGTAGGGAGGAGGAGCAGTGGGGACCTCGGGAGGCGAGGGGCTAGGCGGAGCCGGGTATGGAGGTGGCGGGCTGGGCGAGGGCGGGCTGGGTGACGGTGGCGAAGGCGAGGGTGGGCTTGGCTGTGGCGGGTAGGGAGGAGGAGCAGTGGGGACCTCGGGAGGCGAGGGGCTAGGTGGAGCCGGGTATGGAGGTGGCGGGCTGGGCGAGGGTGGGCTGGGTGACGGTGGCGAAGGCGAGGGAGGGCTTGGCTGTGGCGGGTAGGGAGGAGGAGCAGTGGGGACCTCGGGAGGCGAGGGGCTAGGTGGAGCCGGGTATGGAGGTGGCAGGCTGGGCGAGGGCGGGCTGGGTGACGGTGGCGAAGGCGAGGGCGGGCTTGGCTGTGGCGGGTAGGGAGGAGGAGCAGTGGGGACCTCGGGAGGCGAGGGGCTAGGCGGAGTCGGGTATGGAGGTGGCGGGCTGGGCGAGGGCGGGCTGGGTGACGGTGGCGAAGGCGAAGGCGGGCTTGGCTGTGGCGGGTAGGGAGGAGGAGCAGTGGGGACCTCGGGAGGCGAGGGGCTAGGTGGAGCCGGGTATGGAGGTGGCGGGCTGGGCGAGGGCGGGCTGGGTGACGGTGGCGAAGGCGAGGGAGGGCTTGGCTGTGGCGGGTAGGGAGGAGGAGCAGTGGGGACCTCGGGAGGCGAGGGGCTAGGCGGAGCCGGGTATGGAGGTGGCGGGCTGGGCGAGGGCGGGCTGGGTGACGGTGGCGAAGGCGAGGGAGGGCTTGGCTGTGGCGGGTAGGGAGGAGGAGCAGTGGGGACCTCGGGAGGCGAGGGGCTAGGTGGAGCCGGGTATGGAGGTGGCGGGCTGGGCGAGGGCGGGCTGGGTGACGGTGGCGAAGGCGAGGGCGGGCTTGGCTGTGGCGGGTAGGGAGGAGGAGCAGTGGGGACCTCGGGAGGCGAGGGGCTAGGCGGAGCCGGGTATGGAGGTGGCGGGCTGGGCGAGGGCGGGCTGGGTGACGGTGGCGAAGGCGAGGGAGGGCTTGGCTGTGGCGGGTAGGGAGGAGGAGCAGTGGGGACCTCGGGAGGCGAGGGGCTAGGTGGAGCCGGGTATGGAGGTGGCGGGCTGGGCGAGGGCGGGCTGGGTGACGGAGGCGAAGGCGAGGGAGGGCTTGGCTGTGGCGGGTAGGGAGGAGGAGCAGTGGGGACCTCGGGAGGCGAGGGGCTAGGTGGAGTCGGGTATGGAGGTGGCGGGCTGGGCGAGGGCGGGCTGGGTGACGGTGGCGAAGGCGAGGGCGGGCTTGGCTGTGGCGGGTAGGGAGGAGGAGCAGTGGGGACATCGGGAGGCGAGGGGCTAGGCGGAGCCGGGTATGGAGGTGGCGGGCTGGGCGAGGGCGGGCTGGGTGACGGTGGCGAAGGCGAAGGCGGGCTTGGCTGTGGCGGGTAGGGAGGAGGAGCAGTGGGGACCTCGGGAGGCGAGGGGCTAGGCGGAGCCGGGTATGGAGGTGGCGGGCTGGGCGAGGGCGGGCTGGGTGACGGTGGCGAAGGCGAGGGTGGGCTTGGCTGTGGCGGGTAGGGAGGAGGAGCAGTGGGGACATCGGGAGGCGAGGGGCTAGGCGGAGCCGGGTATGGAGGTGGCGGGCTGGGCGAGGGCGGGCTGGGTGACGGTGGCGAAGGCGAGGGTGGGCTTGGCTGTGGCGGGTAGGGAGGAGGAGCAGTGGGGACCTCGGGAGGCGAGGGGCTAGGTGGAGCCGGGTATGGAGGTGGCGGGCTGGGCGAGGGCGGGCTGGGTGACGGAGGCGAAGGCGAGGGAGGGCTTGGCTGTGGCGGGTAGGGAGGAGGAGCAGTGGGGACCTCGGGAGGCGAGGGGCTAGGTGGAGTCGGGTATGGAGGTGGCGGGCTGGGCGAGGGCGGGCTGGGTGACGGTGGCGAAGGCGAGGGCGGGCTTGGCTGTGGCGGGTAGGGAGGAGGAGCAGTGGGGACCTCGGGAGGCGAGGGGCTAGGCGGAGCCGGGTATGGAGGCGGCGGGCTGGGCGAGGGCGGGCTGGGTGACGGTGGCGAAGGCGAGGGCGGGCTTGGCTGCGGCGGGTAGGGAGGAGGAGCAGTGGGGACCTCGGGAGGCGAGGGGCTGGGCGGAGCCGGGTATGGAGGCGGCGGGCTGGGCGAGGGTGGGCTGGGTGACGGTGGCGAAGGCGAGGGAGGGCTTGGCTGTGGCGGGTAGGGAGGAGGAGCAGTGGGGACATCGGGAGGCGAGGGGCTAGGCGGAGCCGGGTATGGAGGTGGCGGGCTGGGCGAGGGTGTGCTGGGTGACGGTGGCGAAGGCGAGGGCGGGCTTGGCTGTGGCGGGTAGGGAGGAGGAGCAGTGGGGACCTCGGGAGGCGAGGGGCTGGGCGGAGCCGGGTATGGAGGTGGCGGGCTGGGCGAGGGCGGGCTGGGTGACGGAGGCGAAGGCGAGGGCGGGCTTGGCTGTGGCGGGTAGGGAGGAGGAGCAGTGGGGACCTCGGGAGGCGAGGGGCTAGGTGGAGTCGGGTATGGAGGTGGCGGGCTGGGCGAGGGCGGGCTGGGTGACGGTGGCGAAGGCGAGGGCGGGCTTGGCTGTGGCGGGTAGGGAGGAGGAGCAGTGGGGACCTCGGGAGGCGAGGGGCTAGGCGGAGCCGGGTATGGAGGCGGCGGGCTGGGCGAGGGCGGGCTGGGTGACGGTGGCGAAGGAGAGGGCGGGCTTGGCTGCGGCGGGTAGGGAGGAGGAGCAGTGGGGACCTCGGGAGGCGAGGGGCTGGGCGGAGCCGGGTATGGAGGCGGCGGGCTGGGCGAGGGTGGGCTGGGTGACGGTGGCGAAGGCGAGGGCGGGCTTGGCTGTGGCGGGTAGGGAGGAGGAGCAGTGGGGACCTCGGGAGGCGAGGGGCTAGGCGGAGCCGGGTATGGAGGTGGCAGGCTGGGCGAGGGCGGGCTGGGTGACGGTGGCGAAGGCGAGGGAGGGCTTGGCTGTGGCGGGTAGGGAGGAGGAGCAGTGGGGACCTCGGGAGGCGAGGGGCTAGGCGGAGCCGGGTATGGAGGTGGCGGGCTGGGCGAGGGCGGGCTGGGTGACGGTGGCGAAGGCGAGGGTGGGCTTGGCTGCGGCGGGTAGGGAGGAGGAGCAGTGGGGACCTCGGGAGGCGAGGGGCTGGGCGGAGCCGGGTATGGAGGCGGCGGGCTGGGCGAGGGTGGGCTGGGTGACGGTGGCGAAGGCGAGGGCGGGCTTGGCTGTGGCGGGTAGGGAGGAGGAGCAGTGGGGACCTCGGGAGGCGAGGGGCTAGGCGGAGCCGGGTATGGAGGTGGCAGGCTGGGCGAGGGCGGGCTGGGTGACGGTGGCGAAGGCGAGGGAGGGCTTGGCTGTGGCGGGTAGGGAGGAGGAGCAGTGGGGACCTCGGGAGGCGAGGGGCTAGGCGGAGCCGGGTATGGAGGTGGCGGGCTGTGCGAGGGCGGGCTGGGTGACGGTGGCGAAGGCGAGGGCGGGCTTGGCTGTGGCGGGTAGGGAGGAGGAGCAGTGGGGACCTCGGGAGGCGAGGGGCTAGGTGGAGTCGGGTATGGAGGTGGCGGGCTGGGCGAGGGCGGGCTGGGTGACGGTGGCGAAGGCGAGGGCGGGCTTGGCTGTGGCGGGTAGGGAGGAGGAGCAGTGGGGACCTCGGGAGGCGAGGGGCTAGGCGGAGCCGGGTATGGAGGCGGCGGGCTGGGCGAGGGCGGGCTGGGTGACGGTGGCGAAGGCGAGGGCGGGCTTGGCTGTGGCGGGTAGGGAGGAGGAGCAGTGGGGACCTCGGGAGGCGAGGGGCTGGGCGGAGCCGGGTATGGAGGTGGCGGGCTGGGCGAGGGTGGGCTGGGTGACGGTGGCGAAGGCGAGGGAGGGCTTGGCTGTGGCGGGTAGGGAGGAGGAGCAGTGGGGACCTCGGGAGGCGAGGGGCTAGGCGGAGCCGGGTATGGAGGTGGCGGGCTGGGCGAGGGCGGGCTGGGTGACGGTGGCGAAGGCGAGGGAGGGCTTGGCTGTGGCGGGTAGGGAGGGGCCGGGCTGGGCGGGGTCGGAGAGGAAGGGGCAGGGTGGGGTGGCAAAGGGGAAGGGGGTACGGGGCTAGGTGGCGATGGTGCGGGTGGAAGGGGGCTTGGTGGGGAAGGCGACGGTGGGGGAGGGCTAGGAGATGGCGGAGGTGGGCTGGGTGGTGAAGGGGAGGGAGGCTGTGGGCTTGGCGGTGACGGCGATGGCGGCAAGGGGCTGGGTGGAGGCAATAAGGGAGGAAATGGCGAAGGGTACGGGGGCGGGGGCGATGGGCTTGGCGGTGGAAGTGACGGTGGACTTGGCGGTGTAGGTGAAGGGGGTGTTGGAGGGGTAGGAGAAGGTGGTTTCGGAGGCGGAGGGGAGGGGGGTCGCGGAGGCGATGGAGACGGGGGCAGCGGCGGGCGGGGCGACGGGGGCAGTGGCGGTGTTGGCGAAGGAGGCCTTGGCGGAAATGGAGACGGAGGCGGCGGCGGGCGGGGGGGTGGAGGGGAAGGGGGAGGCGGCTTAGGTGGGGGTGGTGAAGGTGGCGGTGGGGAGGGCGGCGGTGGGGAAGGCGGCGGCGGGTTAGGTGGAGGCGGGCCGGGTGGTGGAGGGGAGGGTGGCGGTGGTGCAGGTGGAGGGGGAGAGGGAGGAGGTGGGGATGGCGGAGGTAGTGAGGGAGGCCGCAGTATGGGTGGAGGCGGAGACGGCGGTGGGGGCGTGGGTGGAGGTGGGGAAGGCGGAGGCGGAGAGGGAGGTGGAGGCGCAGGTGGTGGCGGGGACGGCGGTGGGGGAGAAGGTGGAGGAGGCGAGGGAGGGGGAGGTGCGGGGGGCGGAGGGGACGGAGGTGGCGGGAAGGGTGGTGGCGGGAATGGAGGCGGCGATATTGGCGGTGGGGGAGACGGTGGGGGCGGCATAGGTGGCGGCGGCGACGGTGGAGGCGGTGATGGTGGCGGTGGGGAGGGAGGCGGTGGCGACGGTGGCGGTGGTGACGGGGGTGGCGGCGAGGGTGGTGGGGGTTGCGGCGGAGGAGGAGAAGGTGGAGGCGGCGAGGGCGGCGGCGGTGATGGGGGCGGTGGAATAGGAGGCGGCGGCGAAGGGGGTGGGGGCATGGGCGGCGGTGGGGAAGGCGGCGGTGGATTGGGCGGCGGTGGTGACGGCGGCGGTGGCAGTGGAGACGGCGGATTGGGCGGCGGTGGTGAGGGTGGTGGCGGCTCAGGAGGCGGAGGAGACGGCGGTGGCGGCGACGGTGGAGGTGGGGACGGCGGCGGTGGTATGGGCGGCGGAGGTGAAGGCGGCGGTGGAAAAGGTGGCGGCGGCGACGGCGGCGGAGGCCCTGGCGGCGGCGGGAAAGGAACCGGTGGTGGCGGCGGCGGTGGGAACGGCGGCGGAGGAGAGGGTGGCGGCGGTTCAGGGGGCGGAGGAGAAGGGGGTGGAGGCGAAGGCGGTGGTGGCAGGGGAGGCGAGAGAAGAGGTGGCGGTGGCGACGGCGGCGGCGGAAACGGTGGCGGAGGCGACGGGGGTGGCGGGGACGGAGGCGGCGGGGACGGAGGCGGAGGCGACGGGGGCGGCGGCCCGGGGGGCGGCGGCGAGGGTGGCGGTGGGTCAGGGGGCGGTGGCGACGGCGGCGGAGGGCTGGGTGGTCGCTTCACTGGTGACGGAGGTGGCGGCCGCGGCCGTGGACGCGGTGGGGGCCTTGGGAATGGTGGGCTGGGCGGCAAGGGCCTCGGCGGCGGCACCACACGGATCAGGGCCGGCGGGTTGGGCGTCGGAGGCGGACTAGCAACCTTGGGCGGGCCCGGGGCGGGCGCCACGTCGTATCCATCAATGTCGCTCCCGCCAAGCACAAGGGGCATGGATCCCACCATGCAGCACGTGCCGCCGAGCACGCTGATTCCAGCGTCCGAGAACAGGGAGTACCTGCGTGTTGGTAGCAACCGGTACGTGCGCATGTTAGCTTCGAAAAGGCCCACATGCTCGCGGCATTGTGCCATGGTCCATAATATGTGATTGCACGAGAGTGACGGGGTATGGATGCTAACAGTACTCCACGTGACAGAACATGCGTGTTTGCATAAACCCAAATGATGCAACGCGTGGTATGATGTTCGACAGTATGCAGCTGGGGTCTCCTCTATCCTTGCATTGCCGCATCCCAGCCCCCCCTCAACGCCCTCCTTTGTCACCCACTTGCAAGACGTTCCGTTGAAGCAAAGCCGCTTAGGGGACCTACAAGGGTCGCCTAGCACATGACAAATCTCCACACTGCGAGCCTGCGTAAACAGAGCCCACCAGCGAGCGCAAGCACAGAGGCAAGGATGTTTGGGACGGCGCGGGCGCACCAACACGAGGGAGAGCAAGTTACCAGAGCACGGGTAAAAGATAACTCTCTGGCAAAGGGCTACTTGACGGTACCTTTGGATGTCGCCAACATGGTGTACGATACTGGGGAGCATCCGGCAAACAAAACATGACAGCACGGGATGCATTGTGTTCGCCCTAGGCCCCGTATACAATAGCACAAGATGAGGGCCGCAATGTTTCCAGAAGGTAGGCCCAGTTGCCCACGTTTTTCTATCCTGTAACCCAGACCCTAGTACCCCAAGAACGCACCTGCGTGCTGTTGAGGTTCAAAGCTGGCACCTTGAGCACGGCTGTGGGGTCCGTTACCGCATCCCACGCAAAAGCCTTCCCCGACACGCCGTTTATGCTTGTTGAACGCACGCTGCCTGTGCATGTGGGGTCTGGAAAGGACGAGGGAAGCAAAGGAGGGAGGAGAGGCACACGATCGCCAAGGCGAGGAAAGCGATGCGGTGGAGTATGCCCCTGTTCTGCAACTCCCTGCACTGCCTGAGCTTGCGGGCAGCCGGAACGACCCGTGGGTCAGTCACCAAATAACGCAAAAGGACGCACTGACGCCTGCCAAGCGCATACCCTTCCAAAGCATGGCGCGTGACGCACGTGCAACCCCGTAGATGCTAGCCATCATAGAGCCCCTTACCCATCTCCCAGTGTATCTTCCGCAGGCGTGTGAGCATGGCCTGACAGCAGGTGGCCTTGTTGCCGTCCAGCCCAGCACACGTCCGGGTGACGTTTACCCGGTAGCACATGACCGTCTTGTTGCCCGACTGCGATTGGGGTACAGCGGCCAGCAGGTTTGGGGAGCGGCAAAAGGGTTGGTGTCCTTGGTGAATTGTGTCGGGGTACGGAAAAGCTGGGCATCTGTGGATGACCGTTGGGGCCTCGTACATGTGGTGCTGGAACAACAAAGCCAATACAGCCAAACCAGACCCAGATCACACAAGCGGAAACGCGCTGCGGCCCGGGTTCCAAGGGCCTACCCCAACTCCATCCCGTCTTGTCAACGGGCCTCGCCCTTCCCGTTTCCAGCCGTGAACCAGATACTGTTTGCCGACACGTTGCCAAACACACTACCCAAAACCACACCCCCGAATTCGTTTAGCATTGCCTGTTTTCCGAGGAGGATACGAACTGTCGCAGGCGCTTTCCCCTTCCCCCAAACCCACACAACCGTCAACCGGCACACGCAGTAAGCTATCAAATCAGATCTCACGCTCCGCGTGCCGCATGCCATGCCCTGCTTTCTCCTTCACTACCCCAAACGCGACCCTTCTCGTATGGTTTGCAGTCCTTGCATTTCGCTCCAAACCTCATTACCAGCCAGTCCCTTCGTTTCCTCAACTCCTCCCTCCCTTAACCTCCCCAACCAAAGCCGGGTACGGTCAACGCAACCTATGCAATTCCGATCTGGACTCGCAAACGCAAGTCCACACACAACTCACCATCTGTTTGATGGAGCTGAGCACCATGTTGTACGGACTGCTATCCGTGCCATGCTCACAGCGACAGTACGGAAACGTTGTACTACTGTGGGAAAGGCAGGGGCCCATCGGGGGAAGGTTGTCATGAGGGGGAGGATGCAAGCAAGGTGTACAAAGGAAAGGACGAGTACATGCGAAGGTACGGAAAGCGCGACTGTGCGGCCCATGCGGAAGGGCGCACGGGGAGGTGTCTGCGCAAGGGGGGGGCTTAAATTTGGGGAACTAAGGGATGTAAGAAGTTTACCGGTATCCGTATCATGGGGTAAACTTGAAAGAAGTGAAAGACGCGCTTTAACGGAGGGTAAAGACCATTATGGCCATGCGAAAACGGAGCGAAATAATGCACTCCTACACGACATGCACGGCCGGCTCCTTACATAGCCACATGCAGACACGTAGGTAGGAAGCGGAGAAACCAGAAACCACAAGCCTACACGATGCCTACACGAAGCCTACACAAAGCCTACCTTGTGTCCGTAGTGGCAGTGATAGCACTGTCCCGGACGCCGATGCCCTCTGGCTCGGTGCCTGCTGTGCTGTCGCTGCTGGAGAAGCTCTTCACAGCAACATTTGGTGGGGGACTACTCCCGGTAAACAAGCTTAATAAGAGGTTGTCGGGGGTCCAGTAGTCTTCATAATCGGACGGGTCCGATGTCGAGGTTGCCGCTGCTGTGGCAGCAGCAGCTGTTGTATCCGGTGTCGCTGGTGTAGAGGAAAAGGTTGTCGCGGCTGGTGAGGTTGCCGTGAGTACCCCCTGTGCAATCCCTGTGAGTGTAGGGCGCGGGGGAGTGCGCTGATGACGTTTGGGTCTTGTTTCGCAAGGACCGACACCCCGTGTGTTAAGAGAGAAAGCATATGCCGGCAATTCCCCCAAGGCTCAGGTATCTGCAGACCGCGGTGGCTGCAAGCATAGCAACGTTGTGCCCTAGCTATGCTATTCCGCGGACTTCACATTAAAGCCTGTTAACCTCTTAGCTTGACTATTGAACATATCACCGCCCTAAAGCCCCCTCCGGGCCAAACCCATGCGAATGTGAAAGCTGGAAACGGCGCCTTTTACTGCACACCCAAGTCAATCATGTGCTGCATCAAGACAGCTTTCAACAAACATCCCAACAAGGCATGTTATGCCCATCAATACTTGCGAGGCCTGCGCCTTCCAATTCATGAACGCCATGGCGCCACATTAGCTGTTTGCCCCCAAACGCTCTACGATTTCCAGGTAGTTGCTAAGCCTTGCACGCCACATACGCACAACCAAGTAACAGCAAGTAACCCATGTGCTTGTGCTAGGCAACCCATATCGACATCGCGGGCTCACCAGTCGTGAGGTATGCCAGCAGCGCCAACACCGCCAGTGCAGCTATCCTTCTTGTCATGAAGCGCATCTCAGCGCGTATGATCTGCTAGGGTGATGCTGATGCTGGTTGAGGCTTCATCGTCGAAGCGAAGCAAAAATCGTATCGAGGCCAGGAGTAACAAACATGAAAGCAACGCTGAAAAGAACGTATTCATAAGTTACAAGCAGAAACGATAACCGTGGCAGGAGGCCATGGTGTTATGCGTCGAGAGGTATGTTGCTCGGGATGGCCGTACTGGTTGGACTATAAGAGCAAAAGAGGTGCAGAAGAATGGCGTATGGTGTAACTAGGATATGTTTGATCCATGCCTTGATGCACAATCAGAAGGTTATACTGGTATGCTGGGAAGCCGCCAGCCGGTACTTTCCCGCCAATGTCTACTGTCAGCTTATTGGCTTCCTTTGGCCATACCAAAGCAGAACCTGCAGTTCTATTTACGCCTTTCGCCCTTTGCGTCAAGGTGGACGAGCCTCACGTGGGCGAGACAGTATGGCGGGCAGTCTTGCTTCTTGCTTTTTCACATTAAAGAGGGCACGGATTATACTTTAGCTTTCGTTCTGTGCTCTTAGACAGCAATGTATTGCCTTGCTTTGATCTGACGCCCAACCCTATGTGTATCCTACCATGACACCAGAATTCTGTGGATACCTCAAGTTATCTGTTCTGAGGCTGAAGTAGGAAGGTTTGGCGTCTTGTGTTCAAACAATTGGGCGTGCGAAAGGGACGTGCCGAGTTTGACATCGTAAAGTGACTGCTCTTCCCACGTATCCCACGTAGGGCTTCTCGGATGATAAAGAAAGCGGTAAAGACCGGCCTTCGTGACGCACATATGAAGTGGCCAGCATTTCGCACTTGCATGACATGGGCCGGGATACCAAAGTCGTCGCACTTCTTCAGCTCATGAAAGGCGGATGTAGTGGTTGTTATTAACAGCGCTCGACTGAAGTATTACGCCCCAGGTCCGGCTTGAACAGCTAGCGACACCAGGTTTCAACCCCCCTGGTGGTCTTTGGCCCCCCCTTAGCTCGTCAGTTTCCTCTTGTTACCCCCCCCCCCTCCAGGCGGGTGGTTGTATTGCAGGGTCCCCAGCCGGCGTGAAAAGAGGCGCAAAAGAAAAGGATGCACGCCTGGCAGGCTGCCAGGCCTACTCCAGTCCTGCTATACTTATGGTTTAGTTAGGCAAGGGAAAGCGGGCGATGCCCAGCCCTACACTGCTTACAAAAGAGCAGAGCTCCGAGTCAGGGAAGACCCAGGCCCCGGAAAAGAGCCCGTAGGCCAGGAACACATAGGGAGCCACCTCAAAGAGACACAGCAGTAGGGTGTGAGGAGAGTTAGTAGGGTTACGTGGCTTAGTTGCTATACCGGTAACACACGATGTGTCACGTACGCCACCGCTAGGTTATCTTTCGTCCGTCCGTTTCTTGTGCTATCAGTTTATACCACAGCGCCATCGTCCTACCAGTTAAGCACATTTCGCAACAACAGTTCTCACCATCACCGACTCGTTCTTGACAAGGCACGAATCGTGCCTTCGTTCGACATGAGACACTTAGGCACCATACCAATCACCTCATCGAACAACCCTGGTCTGCCGTACACCCCGCGGCCTCGGCAGCTGTCCACAATATATGCGACCCAACCCTCACGGCACTGGAAGAACCCGAGCTTACTACGGGACCCCACAGGCAGAGTCATCCACGGTAGACACAACTCCATTCAACCCCATCCCCGATCAAGGGCCCCCCGCTGACTCTGCGAGCCACTCCCGTACATATGCCACGGCAATTTTGCTCTAGGCCTCGATCCTCCCACATCACCAGGAAGTACAAGGCCTTCTTGACCGCCCCAAAGTACAGCATCACTAGTACAAGGGCCACTCCTTTCCTTGATGTACCCGTCTCCCCAACAGGGCTGCCTCTTTGTCACGGGGAAACAACAGCCGCCATGGCCCAGCACGCCGTCCGCTCCCCCGTGAATCCGCCAGCGCATCTCACCGCTTTGTCGTTCCGGACAGCCCCTGACCAGACCTTGAGTCTGCTTCTAACTATTATGGCTATCTTCGGCTTGGTAAGGCTGTAGTATCACACTGGCAGTGAAAACAGCGACGCGCCCACATGCATGCAAGCCGCTGGTTTGCTAGCAGAGCCAACAACACATGGGGTCGTACAAGCCAGCGATGTTTGCGAGTTGTGCGTGGTGCCCTAGCCCGGGCGCCGGGCTGTGCGGAAAAGGTGCGCGATACACGATGCACGATAGCATTATATTCGGCGTCAGGGAGGAGGCGCAACCATCACCGCCCCTACATCGTACAGGAGCACGTACCCAGTACTACACCACATCCTCCATCACCAGAAGCATACCGGTATGTCACACTAACCTACCACGTGTTATCAGGTTGATAAATGTTTCTTTGAGGTCCCCGCTAAACAGAAAGCTTGGGCCCCAACGTGCTTAGCAGTTTAAGGGATTTCCTGTTCGGGCAACTGAAACAACAAGGCTTCAACTTAATCGCCCTCCTGACAGTCCAGGCGTAAGCTGTCGGCTGGTGTCCAACCGCTGCCGACCTCCGGAAGTGTGAACAGCGCTGCCTTCGTTGTGGGCAACACGAAGGCACTGTGGCCTTGCTTTATGTAATGCATCGCAAGTGAGCCCAGCAAGTGGAGTTCGGACTCGCCGCTGGACAAATCACCTGCGGTTGTCTTCAGGATGCCCTATCAAAATGGAGACGGCGTTCAATACTGCTGGATTACTGGATTACCGGTACGTCCCTCGCCTCAACGCTTCATCGACACGCAGCACGCAGCTCACATTGCTCGCCTGGCGTTTGGAGCTCCGCCTTTATACTCACGGGGCTTACTTATGGGGCCTGGATTGCACTCGGAGCTTTGGTGACAGCAGGGGTCAGAACCGACACCACCGCAACCGTCTCTCGCTCACCCCTTTCCCCAACTCCGGCCCGCCATCTGCTGTGCGCTAGTTAATTTTTATTCGTCTTGCTCAGTGGATGACTGGCAGGTAAATATGCAAGCTTGGGCCGACCTACGCTTGCTCGCAGGTGGCCTTGCAATTCCTGGTTGCGCTTACGAAGAACTTCAGTTATTTCATCATAATATTTGGTCTCCTACAGCACTGGATTCTGCGGTGGAAGCGAAGTTGGCAACACAGCGGTTTCGTTTGGCGGGGAGGTATGGCTTGGCGGGCTTCTTGTGTATAGGATAGTGATATAGCGGGCGTTGAGGATGGAGGAATATGTATTTTGAGAGTTAGATTGAGCAGGCGTATGTGACTATGATGTGGCATCGTGGTTACGGTGTTCCTTACAATTCATCAAGATGTTTTGCGCCACACCTTATAGTGATAGTTTTCTTGTTTGTACTATGCAAGGTTTATACAAGATACCGGCTTTGGGCTCAGAGCATGTAGGCTGTGTCCACTGGGCATGGCATAGCTAGCTCAATGCGGGCGTAAAAGCCCCCATGCTTCGGACCCCAGGGCTCTTTCACTAGGTAGAAAACAACAAACTAGTTATTAAACAAACATTATCTACCTTCTAAGGCAATAATGGCTGCGGCGGGCGTAGACGATAGACGACCTGCGTCACCGTCTACCTTAATGCGTGAAGCGATTACCACTGGTAATACGTATGCGCTCCAGCAGTTGATTGCAGCTTACCCTTACCATATCGACGGAACGCAGCAGTCAGCCGACCAGGCTCCAATCCTCACAGCAGCACTTCTCGGACAAACGCAATCGGTGCAGTTACTTCTCAATAGCGGCGGTAACCCAAATAGACGTGGTAAACGCCATGAAACAGCGCTCATGCTCGCCGCGCAACGCGGGCATGTCGATGTCGTCAATTCGTTGCTTGTCCGCGGTGCAATGCTGACTGCCGTGGACGGCCGGGGTTGGACCGCGCTTCACTTTGCAGCATTCGCTGGCCACGCAGCTGCAATACAGGCACTCTTGGATCCCAGCGTTGCTATGCGTGGAGAACTGCTGGAGATGCGCAGCATTCGTGGCGAAACAGCGTTGGCCCTTGCTGCATTCGGTCGCAAAGATGAATGCTGTCGCGCGCTCCTGGAGGCCGGCGCTCAGGCATCCCTCGTGGACGACGCAACCGACCGCGACTATGCACTCAAAATTGAGCAGGACATTATCCGCAAGCGTGCCAAGGCCAGCCGCAAAGCCGGGCGCAAGGGAGCCGCCCATGGCAACAAAGACAGCAGGAATGGCAAGGGCGGCCTGGCGGTGCCCGAACAGGCAGTTGACCAGCATGTCGTTGAGGAGGAGGATCCTGAGCAGCTGGAGTCCGCAGAACCCACAGTTCCCGCAGTTGATGTGCTGCAGCAGTCGAACTCGTTTGAGGTCATATCCGTCCACCCTGCACGGCCTGTAGGAGAGTTCTCCGGTTCGCCGTCGGAGTACGAGAGGTAGGAGTATTTATGCGTTTGACAATGTGGCTTACTCCAGAAATGTGTGCACTGTACAAAGGTGAACCCACAGAAGTCTAAGTCACGCCGACGCTCACACCACTGCACCCTTGTGCAACCCCTTCCGGTGCTCCAGCCTGGGTTATGCTGCTTGCTGCATGGACTCCCAGCATCTCCCGCCTCCCTTTCCACCTTGCACCGCTGGGCCCGGGATCACGTCCTTCACACCCGCAGGTTCACCGCATTACATGACGCCATGGATGGCGAAGCTGCAGCGCATAAGGCGAGGGGCACTGGCGACACCGCAGCACAACCGGGCGCCGATACGGACATGGATGCGAGCTGGCACTTGCATGAGCTCGACCATCGCGGAATTCCGTTGCTGCATCACCGACCCACGGGTCTCCTGTTCACATCCGTGCCCGAGGACAGGTGTGGCCTTTGTCCTGTTATCTTCGCACCGTAGGCCAAGCTTTGGTGCCGATATGTTCAGTTTACGTGAAATTTACCACGTTGCATCACATGCGTATTGAACCTCAACCGGGTTCCTTGTTTCTATGCTGTCTGCGTTTAGGCCATCACACTCCTTCTTCGAGCTTCATGCTCACTTTGTAATACCTTTTCCCTAGCCAGCTGGCGTGCGCCAGACACCCGCCCAACCCTCCCCCTTGTTTTCATGCGGCCACCTTACCTAATCCCCTTGTACCCCGCCACAGTTTCCCTCACCTGGTGGGCGTGATGGGCAGCCGGGGCACCCCTCGCTGGCTGGAGGAGGGAGACCTGCCGCTGCTTAAGGCAACGCCGCAGGTTTGTATGTTGGGGCTTGGAGGGATCTGCAGCCTTGGTACCAGCACCGCCTTCTTAGCTCCGTTCCGTCTCCAAGCACCAATCCCAAGCCCTTGCCTTTCCCTTTCCCCTTGCCTAACTTACCCGCCCAACTCCATCCCCACGACACAGGCGCATGAGTACCTGGCCGCCACCGTCCCGGCCGCCGGGCTGCTCCTCTGGGGTCTGAGGGTGTTGCCCGAACCCATGCTGCGGCTCTGCCTGCTGCTAGGGCTGCACGAGGTTTCGGAGCTACGAGATCTAATCCTGTTGGAACCAGGAACCGTACCCTTCCATATGGCCTGGGAGACGGCGGGCCTGCCGCTGCACAACATATACGAGCTACGGCGGGAGTTGAGGATTGAACTGTTGAGGGCTAACGGTAACAACGGTTTTAGCGGCAACGGTGACGCTAACGACCAGCAGCCACCGTTCGGCAGCCATGTGCCGGGAGGCGGGGTTGCTCGGGGTCAGGGCGGCGTTGCTGGAGGAGGAGGCGGAGCAGGGGGAGCTGCTGCAGCAATGATGAATATGAGGCGCAACGGTCTCAGTGAGAGCGGTTGGTCGTTCCCATCTCCATCGGAGCACGGGGATACGGAAGGAGAAGGAAAAGGCGCTAGTGGCGGCGGCGGAGGGGGTGGTGGAGGAGGTGTCGCAGGCGCCGTCGCTGCAAAGGAGGATCTGGACGCCCATGCAGGTGAAGGAGGGGCGGAGGTGGGATGGAGGATGGTGGCGGATAGGGAAGATAAGAGGCACGCAGATCGGGATGGGTCTGACAGGCCTGCGGGATGGAGGAGCAGCTTTGGGTGGACAGGAGTTCATGGGAAAAGGAAATGGCAATGTGGGGTTGAGGGGCAGGAGGGGGGCTTGCCATCTGCCAACTCGGCAACCTTCACTACGGCGCTTCAGAGGATGATTCATACAATACGGTAGTAGCAAAGTGCTCGTTCCTAGTGCATTTCTCATACCTCAGTCTGTGTCGTACATTGCTGTACATGGTCGTACACCGCAGGTCCCCTGCCGCTGGATCTCACCGGAGTGCCGTTGGTGCAGCACCTGCTGGAGCGCTACGGCCTGGCCAAGCTGTTGCTCAAGGTGTGTGAGGGGGCTGGGCAGGCGCATGCAAGTCACTTGCAGCTTCAGCTCCCGACCTCGCCAGGCGCATGCAAGTCACATGTAGCCAAACCTACACAAAAACTGCACCGTATCAGCATGTGGCATATGACAGCTATCCTTCACAATTTGTTTTGTCAGTGTCCGCAGTACACAGCTCTGCTTACACCTATACTATAGCAACTCCCTTTGCTCCTTACATCACCCGCATCCCCGCTGCGCCTTTACGTACTATATACCCCAACCTCCTCAGATCGCCGAGCTCAAGATCACATCGGCGGATGATTTGCCCATACTGTCCACGTGGGGCCGTACGGTGGGCGGCACGACGCCCGTTGCAACTGCAGCGGGGAACGCTTTCTCAAGGGGAAACACGCCAGCTCTGGGCCCTTGGGAATCCTCCCGGCTGGCAAAGCTGCTGCGCGATCTGCCCAGACTGCTAGAGGAGCAGCAGAAGGCCAAGGACCGGAACATAGCCAAGGAGGCTTTCGGTCAGACTCTAGAAGCCTTGCAGCAAAAACGCCGGCGTAGCGCCCTGTCGAGACCGTCCCGTGGGTCACTCGTCATGTTCGAGGACATCCATGGCACGGAGGCCATTGTGGTCAGCAGCCCTGGAGGCAAGAGCAACGCAAATGATAACGATGGCCGCGGAGCCATTCGCGTGGCGGTTGTCCTGGAAGTTGGCGGCGATACCGGCGATAAGTATATCGTACGAGATCTGGAGTCTGACCGGATCCTAACTCTACTTGGGGGCCATCTGCAGCGCGTACGTCCCTCCGACGCGGCGAAGTATATCCGACGGCCGGATTACCTCCCGCCTACCTCTCCTGGCGTGCCGGTAACGCCGTACAGTGCTGCAAAAGGGCTATTGGTGACCCGTGGGTCGTCATGGGGCCGTGGGCCGTCTTACGATGGGTACGGCGATGGCATTGTGGGCGAACTGGTGGGGCCGGAGGAGGGTGAGGCGGAACTGGAAGGCAGTGGCGGCAGCGGTCGGTCCGCGCGGTGGTTGGTGCGGTGGCCGGACGGTCGTGTGCACGGCTACTCGTTGGGTCACGGGGACGCTTTCGAGTTGTCTTTCCTGAATCTCCACTGGCGCTCAGGTGAGGGGAATATACGAAGGGGCTGAACAGAGCCAGGGTCCTTCTGGATGGGTAGCGACTTTAAGCTCCGTATCACAATTTTATCTCGTGCAGCTGTCACTGCGAAGACTGCTGCCGCCTATTTACGTCCCGTGCTGTCTGCCGTCTGTCGTACACACCGCCCGCCATGCACATGCCGTACACTGCCCCCCGGCTGCGTCACCTGCCGTACACCGCCTGTGCAGGTGCTCCCATCCTTGACTCCCACCGCGGTCTGCTGCTGCCGCCGGGGGAGGTGGCGGTGCTTCCGGTGTCCCGGTGCGCGCTGTGGACAGAGGAGGCGCATGACGGGCTGCCGGGTACGAAAGGGGGTGGGGGGGCGCGGGGTTGGGGGTACGGGCGGGGATGGGGTGGGTTGGGGTCTGTGTCGGGCACCGGTAGCTGGGCGTGTCGATGGTAGCAGGTTTCCTCATGTCGTCACCTCGAGGACAGAGGAGTCGCGCTGTGTGAGGGCTGTGCTAGCATGTGATGATGTGAGGTTTTGGGTTACCGGTATGCCGGTACTGGGTGCTTGGGAGGTTTTGGGCGGTCCCGTTAATCTTACAACTCAGTCCGGTACAATCCGGTGCTGAGATCGTTGCTTCGTCATCCTCGTTCCTTACCTTCTTTGCACAACCGCCGCCGTCGCATCCTCATGCACCACCCCCTCCATCCCCACCCCCACCGCACCTCCACATGCAGGCTCCCCCGGCTCCGCGCTGCTGGACCGCACCACCGCCTCCCTTACCGTGGACTGGCTGCGCGACCTGCACTTCCCGCGAACCTACATGCCCGACCCCGCCGCGGGAGGCTCCTATCCGCTGGTGCACGCCATGATGGCGGGGCAGCCGGTGACGGTGTTCACGGCGCGAGTGGGGGCGAAGGTGGAGACTGCGGGGGTGAGTAGGGGAGGGGGCTAGTGGGGCAGCATCATGTCAGTCATCGTGCTATCACCCTGCAAATTTTGCAAGACACATGCTTTCACTGCCGCCTCCGTCTTTACCGGTAATCGAGCCCTCCCTTTCTGCCATTGTGGATCCTGCTTGCGGCCCTCCTCCTCATGCATTCATACTTCCCCCCTGCACTCCAACCTCCCACCTCCCACCGCCCCCGAACCCGCCACCTCCCACAGGCCTCCCCCAGCAGCCCAGTGCTGGCCGGGCCGCACTTCTACCACAAGTACTACACCACCTGGAACGTATCCGGTCCGGAGCTGGGGGGGCAGGGCACGCTGCTCGCGCCACTGCGATTGGAGGAAGGTGGGTGTGCTGGTTTCCAAGCCGCCGGGTTGGGCGTGAGCGGTTTCTCACGTCCCCCGTACTCTCCTTGCCTCCCCACGCGCACCGCTTTTCATCCCTCCCCTCCCCTGTCCCCACCCCCCTCCAGACGGGCTGGTGGTGGTGTGGCTGGTGTCCTGGCCCAGCCTGGGGCGCCAGGAGGCCCGTGTGGCGGTGGACCCCGCGCGCTGCGACCTGGTGTTCGCCCCCCTAGCGGACACCCCGCAGGCGCGCAGCAACAGGCGGAAGCACGAGCACTGGCACCACCAGGTGGGGTGGGGGGGCTGGGCGGGGAGGGGAGGTGGGGTGGTAACGAGGAAACAGCTAACTGACCGTGTGTTAAGGCGTTAGCATGGGTTGCAACATGTGAGCCAGCCCAGGGGAGGTGGGGAGAATAGGGAGCGGGAGTAGCAACGGAGGATGCGGAGGAATATATGGGTGTGGGCAGGGCAAAGCTGCTGTTTGCTTCCTTGTTGCCATTCCTTATTAGTAATGTGCGTGTCGCCTGTTGCCGCGTGCTGCTTGTGCGGACCTCACCCAACAACAGGGTGCTGAGGGGCGGCTGGTGCGGCTGAACCCATCACAGTTGGGGCTGCAGCCCAACGTCAACTCGGGCCCGCTGCGAACCGCGGGTCGCGACATGGTAGGCGTGGTGCTCCGCGATCTGGGCCCAGGCGTGCACTGCGGGCTGCTCGTACGAGTACTCGGCGGTTGTACGGCTTTCTGGTACGACGAAGACGTGCTACTGCCGTTTTCGACGGTTGAGTTGAGCCGCCGGTTGCCGCCGGCGGCGGCGGCGGCACTCGCCTCTGGCAACGCTGCCGTTCCGGTCATGGACTGTACGGCAATACCTGGCATGCTCGTACGGCGATGCTATGATGACGGCGCAACGCTCAAGTGCAGTACAAAGGAGCAACAGATCGGCATGTTGGTTGCTAACGTGGCTGCCAACCGTTGGTTAGTTCGTTGGCCTGATGGTCATTCGTCTATTTACCATACGGGATCTGGATCCAAGTTTCAGCTGTCGTACGTTTGCGAGCACCCTCAGGCAGGAGCGCCGCTAGCCATGCCTTGCTCGTTGGATTCGTCAGCCCTAACGGAAACGGCTGTCGTACCGGCGTTCGACTGCTGCGTGCCGCTGGGAGATGGACCTCTGGGAGAGAGCGACGTGCTGTCGGTCGGCGGCTCGGCACTGCAGGTTAGAGGAGGAGGACACGCACGGAGAGGGCTTTGCCGCTTTTAGTTGCCTTGCTGCAACACTTGCGCAATACTTGCGCATGATCTTCATTACATCGGATAGCATCGGATAGGCATTCTATGTAAAGGACCACCTTTCCTTTGTCCGCAACCTTGATGCCGTCTGTCCAGAGCCCATGTCAGGCCCTGTCATTATGCTGCCATGTACGCTAATTTTGTCTACTTCTACACTAATTATGGCGACTTGCTGGTTACGTTTGTCGTACGTTTGTTGTACACTGCCCAGGTGGACGAGCAAGACAAGATCCGCCTGTTGGCAGTGGAGAGGATGCCCGTGACGGCTGGCGCTGCTGCCCGGCAGCTCCGCTACTACGCAGGTAGGCCGCCGCCCAGGCACCTACCATGATGCAATCTGGCAATCAACATGCAGCAGTTTACCTTGTCCACCCTATTAGGTACCGACATGGGCTTCCATCATAAGCTTATGCTCTGTACTTTGCTGGTGTGACACTCCCCGCCCTTATTCTCGTCGTGCTCTGCCATCACCGGTATCCTGACTCTCATTCTCATCCTCAATTCCTCATCCCGCCCTCTTCCCCCAGGCGGCATGTTCCGCCTATTCGAGCTGGCCCACGCTGCCATTCCGGGGGAGCCCGTCACCGTCTTCACCGCCAAGCAGGGCCTGAGGGTGGTGCTTTACCCGCCGGAGATGCAGGGGGCGGCAGGAGGAGCCGGAGGAGGAGCGGGGGCCCATGGTGCTGGAGCAGGAGGCGGCACAGCAGGCGCAAGGGTGTCATTTACCTCCGCTGCTGGTCGCGGAGGAGCAGGAGTAGCAGCAGGAGGTGGAAAGCCGCAGTACGGCACGCTGACCAGGCCTGTGCGGCTGGGAATGATGGTGGGTGTGTGGGACGATGTGCGCATGCATGCCACCATGTGCCGGGTAGCATATCCTGCCTGCCTGTTCCCCACAACGGGAGTTCGTACATACACGCCGCTGAATGAGAACGTTCATGCCTGCTTGTTCCGCACCCACGCACGCATGCGCTCCCACCTGCAGGGGCTCACCACTCGGTCCAGCACCGGCAGTGTCATCCCCGCCACAGCGGCGCTGCTGGCCCCGCCGCCCCGCCGCCCCGCCAGCGCGACCCGCATCCGCCGCCCGGAGTCCGCTCGCTCCCTTGCAACAGAGACCTCCCTCTTCAGCCTGGCATCCCCGGCATCTGCTGATGGACAGAATGACCTGGCCGGCGGTGGTGTTGTTGCCGGGGGGATGTACGACGTGGACCAGTCATCAGTGTGGTGGGAGGTGGCTTGGGACGCGGGCAACGTGTCGTCGTTCGTGATTGGCGTTTCACCCGGCGTGACGGCGTTGCGGATTGCCAAGCAGAAGGGCTTTAAGTAAGTCGGGTCGGGTATGGTGCAAATATGCTGACTGATCGTTGCTCGTTGAGTTGATTCTGTTGCAGGGTCTGTTGACAGGAGCTTGAAAGCCATCTGCACCACTGGGTTAACTTCGCCGTCCTGCAGATCCTGGACTTGCCCTGGAAAACATGATGGAAAGAGAAACTTGCTGTCAAAATTAATTTTGACGGAGCTCACATGCTTGCAGCCTCTACGTCCTCAATCTGCCCCCCTTTCGGCTCCCCTTCGCAGTGCATGTTAATGCTGCTCTTACCACGTCCCACTACTGGACCAATATAGCACCCATCAAAAGGCATTTTCCTAACAGTGTACCTCTTTCCCCCTCCTCTCCCTCCTTGCTTCCTTCGCCCCCGCAGGACTCCCGCGCAGCCGCCCTCCCGAGGGGATGCGCCTGAGGACCGGCACCTGCGGATTCACGACCCGGTGCTGCACCGACCCGTGAAGGGGCTGCAGGTCTGCTACTGCCGCCCTACTGCTACTGCGTATGAAGCGGCTACTGCTAACAATACTTACGCAACCGCCGTTGCATGCATAAATGACTGACAAAGCCTCCTTTTCTTACGCCAATGCCCTTTCCTAGCTGTGCACCCCTTAACGTTCTTTCCCATCTTCCGCAGTTCAGAAGCTCTTGTATGCCTTGATCCTGCCTTCTGTCTGTTGGGCTCAGCTGACGACTACCCCTCATCCGGGTCATCCCCCCACAGATCGTAGATGACTACATCTTAACCATGGCATCAAACCTCGATACCGCTGTCTGTGCGCTCAACACCACCAGCCAACGTCTCGCAGCCCTCTGGCTGGCGGCGGCAGAATGCGAACCGTCGGCGCCGTACCGAGTCGTCGTACAGCGCGTCCCCATGCACGGCGACACGATCCTGCTTGGCGTGGGAATGGCGGCGTCCAGCAGGGCCAGTGGCATTGGCGGGAAAGAGGACGGACCCACGGGTCACTTGCGGGCTGAGCTGGCACAGGAGCTGCTGGAGTCCTGTCGCAGTACGGATGAGGAACTGGCGGCGGCGGCTGCAAACCTTCAGGTGCGCGACAGGGTTGTGTTGGTAACTCCATGTTTACGTCTCTTTAATACCTGGGAATAAGCTAAGGATAGCAAAAGTAACTTGGTCCTTACAGTGGATGCCCTAACGAATTCCGTGTATTTGCCGTACAGGCGGTCCTTCGGGGCTCGCCTCATCTGGATTTGGAAGCCCAGCGCGCCTCCGAGACAGCCGCCATGGAACGCCGCGTGCGTAGGGAGCAGCGGCTGCTTGCCGGCGCGGCCCTCACGGATGACGGCAGCGTCGCCAGCGGTGTCGACGGCGCCGCCGCCGCCCCCATGACGACGACGTCGTTGTACGACGATTGCTCCGACATCGACAACTACCAGGGCCGTTGGATTCTGACTGGGGCCTCCTTTGAGGATGCCGCAGATGACGCCGTGGTTGGACTCAAGGTGGTGATGATGAAGATGCCGACGGATGGTGGCGGCAGTGCGGACGGCGGCAGTGCAGACGGCTGGCCGCCGCTGCCGCAGTTGGTGCCGACGGGGCCCTGCAGTCGGTTTGTGACGGGGGCGGTCCAGCGCTTTAATAAGGCCCTGGAGGCGGCTCAGGAGGATCTGGACCGAGCGGTGCAGGGCTTGCTGATGATGGCGGACCCGGAGGAGGCTAAGATGCTGCGGAAGGCGCCGCTGCGGTACCACGTGTCGGTGCTGCCCCGCGCCCCCGGCGCCGCCATGCCGCTAAAGCACCTGCTGCTGGGTCCCCGGCGGCAGTCCAGCGATACGGACCCGCTGCTTGTGCAGGAGATGCTGGAAACCTTCCATGCGTTTTCCCTAGGCCTGACGGTAGCGAAGACGCAGGAAGGGGACTATGGCGGTGGCGCAGTACGAGGAGGAGCAGGAGCAGCCGCAGGAGGAGGCACGCCGTTGGGACCGTTGGCAGTTGCGGCCTTGGATCTGGTTCCGGAGGTACGTGGCGCCTCGATCCGGGCGCATGAGGCCATGAACGCTTATGCGACTGCGCAAGCGACGGAGTGGCGGCGGCAAATTGCGGAAATGTACGGAAGTAGCGGTGGCAGTGGAAGACCGTCGGGAGTGACGACTTCAACGGCGGCGGCAACGGCAGCGCCGGGCGGCATCAGCATTGGCGGCGGCGGCGGATGGAGTCGCGTCAGCGGTGTGGAGGCTGCAGCGAGTGAGGCGGCGAGCGAACTCATCAGCAGTGTGGGAGGTATCGGCAGTGGCGCGAACCCCTCTGACACCACGCGAAGGGGCGTGTGGAACGGCCTGATGCTGGGGTTCTCAAGGTGAGGCGGGGCGGCTCTCCTACACTGGGATCGCTGGTTGGGATCTTCCCTGCGGTGAACCGATTCCAGTAGACCCATTGCACCTGCACGCGTTCTACCTTCCCCTCCTTTCAAATTTGGATCGTGGATCTCCCTTTACCCGGACGCCCCATACCCTTCCTGCTTCCTTGTTCCGTACCCCGTCCGCAGGCCGCCCTTGTTGGTGGTCCAGGGCGGTGTCAGTGTGGGCGACGTGGAGGGCGTCGTGGAGCCCTCCGAGGTGAGCACGGTTGCAGCAAGCGAGGGCGACCACAACACTCTGTCTGATAGGTTTTTGTGAATCCTGAGCCGCTTCTTGCGGTCGCCGAGCTGGGATACGGTACTTGCTCTCCACTGAAGTCCTTACCCCTGCTCCACCCTCCATCCTCCTCCCGTCATCCTCGCCCCCAGGAGGCCACCAGTCTGACTCCCAGTGAGCTCGCCGCGCGCTTCAATGACGCGCTGCTACAGCTGTGGCGAGGCGCGGGCCGAGTTAACGGCTGCGGCGGTACGGCGCGGGTATCGGATGCGGTGGTTAAGATCTACAGCTACATGCACTCAGAGGCAAGTCCTGGTCCTGGCTCAGCAAGCGGGTTGTTGGGTGGTGCAGGTGGATGAATGGGTGCTGTAGCATCGAGGGTTGTCTGCCAGTGCAATTGCTGGTAATGGTGTACAGCAATCCCGCTAACCGACTCAACATGGTTTAGCAACCTGCTCAGCCTGGTAAACATTCGACCCCAACACATTATGTATGCGTACAGGTTGCAAAGGCAGTGGAGGACTTCGGCCGGAAGTTCGAGGAGGCCAACAGGCCTCCACCGCCACCACCACCACCACCACCACCGCCGCCTCAGGTCGAAGAGGTGGCACCTCAGGTGAGGCCTGTCTTGTGCCGTTCACAGCTGAGATGCCATACCGGGACATCTGGGCCCTTGCCTGGGCTGCTGCTGCTGCTACTGGGGCCTAATGGGCGGTGTTGTTACTGCCGCGGGCCCTCTCTTGCATCCTGGTGCAGGAGGCACCCAAGCCGGGCACTGCAGATGGGGGTGCCGGCGGACAGGAAGGAGGCGCCGAGCCGGGGCCCGAGGGTGGTGCAGCAGCAGCGGGAGGATCCGACCCGGCACAGGCAGCAGGGGAGCAGCAGAGTCCACAACAGCAGCAGCAGGAGGGACAGACGCCGTCTACAGCTGGTGCTGCTGGGCAGGTGAGGGGTATGTAGACAGGGCACAAACATGGATTTAGGAAGATGTAAAGGCGAAGGGTTCCGGGCAGCAGACAGACTCTGGGACCTACCTTATGACGTCTTTGCCTTCAAGGCTCTACTCTCCAACGGAACGTCAATTGGCTGCGCTCATGTCCTCACATTGGCGCTATTGCATGTTTGTGCAGGACGCGGCATCTGTGGCAGTGCCCGCACCCAATGGCGAGGGCGAGGGACCTGCAGCCGCTGCCCGACCCGACGGAGCAGCAGCAGCAGAGGGGATGTACGGCAGCAGCGGTGCGGGCGCTACTGCCCACGTGGGCCTCCCAGCTCGAAACAGCGCCATGCTGGGCCCTTCGGCGGAAATCGTGTTCCGCCCCGTGTTCGTACAGTCGGGCCGAGATCCAACGCATAGCCAAAACCAGATCCAATTACACGTTGCAGTGCTGTTAAAGGTACGGCAGGTGACATGAATAAGCAGAGGGAGTGATATTGATTGGTGTTGTAAGCGGGCGGTTTTAGGCTGGCCGTAGCAGCTAGAAGCTGCCAGCTGTCACACAGATGCCACTTGCAGAGGCTTGTTATTGATCCAACCGACTCACCCAACACCCTGTGATTCGTGGGTCAAATTCCAACAGGAGTATGGCCGACGTGCGGTACAACCCCCTCCCGAGGTGGATGACGTGATCATGCGGCCTGACATCCGCGCGCTCATGGAGCCCTTGGAGCAGCTGCTCGACGTGATGAGTAAGTCAGGGGATGGTGCCGGATGGTCTGCCGCTAGCTGAAGTTGGAACCCCTGGGTGAATGGTGACCTCCCCGCTTTCATGTGTACCGGTATCTTGACGTTCCCGCGCTATCTCCGAGGCATCAAGTGCTAACTCATCCACAAGCTATTAAGTTTCTTTCCAATATCGTTCCCAACATTGAACAGACAACGGGCTGGCAAACGCGTACCGCGCACTCCGCAACATGCACTCGGACGCCGAGCTCCTCGCGCCGCTGCTTGGCGAGCCCAGCGGCACTCCATTGCTGCGTGGCTGGCGGGACGGACCCACGGGTCTGCACGCTGTGGCGCGCCGGTACGGCCCCCGCGCCGAGAACTTGCTGCGGGCCAACCTGCGCCAGGTGTCCCGTCACTCGACCATCTTGGAAGCCTACCGGGCGGTGTCTAAGCTGCTGGTGGAGGGGCTGCAGGTACGAGCGAGTTGTGTATGTTAATAGGAGGACGCCGGTTGGTTACATGCAGGCGGTACGTACCCTTTCTCCCTTGCATGTGGGCGAAGTTATAGCCATGCATGCAGCCGTGCTTGCTTGTATAGGAAAAGCCCTGCCGGCCGTTTGACCTTACCGCATCCATGCTGCCATGGGCAGGACGCCGCCGCTCGGCTCTCCGAAATCTTGGAGCCTATATCCGTGCCCTACCACGCGGCACGTATGGTGAAGCAGGCAGAAGCAGCAGCGGCTGCGGCTGCCGCAGCGGCAGCAGCAGCAGCGGCCGAGGCTGCTGCAGCGGCCGAAGCAGCAGCGGCAGCCGCTGCCAGAGTGGCAGCAGCGGAGAAAGAAGAACTCCGGCTGGTAAGTTGTATTCGGTGCGTGCAATTCGCCCCTGTGTATGTTGCACGCGCGCGGGAAGTAGCCGTACATCTTATGTACGGTATGACCCTCTAGCATCATGCCCAATGTAGCGCGTTCTGCTTTCCTGACTCCGGTGGCGTCCTTGTCGTGCAGTACTGTACTGTACCTACCTTGCATTTTGTGTTTGGGGCGCCGCTAGCTAATACTGTCGTACAGTGGCACCGGTAGCTTCTGCCCGATGCCATTGCGGACCATACTTACGGCACCCACTACCGCCCCACTACCGTATCTCCAACCACCCACCCACCCACGCACCCACCCACAGCTCGCTGCCATGCGCGAGAGGGCCGCCGCCAAGTCCCCCTCACCCAGCGACCCCTCACCCGGCCCCACCGCCACTCGGGCCCCTTCCCAAAGCAGCACCTCCTCCTCCTCCTCACAGTACTCCGGCAGCGGCATCACCGCCCTAGTGGCGTCCTCGTCCACCTCACCACTGCACGCAGACACGGTTGCGGAAGCCGCGCCAGCTGCTGCCCAGGCCCGCGCGGCGGCAGACGCAGCAGCAGCCCCGCTGTCGCCAGCTACACCACTCATGCCAGCGACGCCTGCAGGGGATGAAGGTACCGGTGACAGGGAAGCAGGTGGAGGGGCGGCTAGGAGCAGCACCAGCAGCATCCACAGCCACGGCCACGGCCACGGCAGCAGCCACCGCAGCCCCAGGGCGCCAAGCAGCACTGGCTCCTTCAAAACGCCCGTGGTGGCGTTGATGGGGCGTATGGAGCGCACCAGCGAAGGCGGCGTCAGCAGCAACAGCCCGGTCCTCGGCAGCAGTCTCATGAGCACGCCGCCCACGGATAAGCGCCCCGGTGCTGAGGGGACGACGGCTGTGGTGGCTGCTACAACTCCGGATAGTGGCCTAAGTCCAGGAACGGTGGTTACTCGCGCGTCGACTCCGGGAGTTGGGGAGGCGAGGGAGGCCATTGCGGCGGATGAGAGCCTGTGGGGCGAGGGAGAGAAGGGAGGTGCGGACAATGACGCTCTGATCAGTTTTGATGAGGACGCTGTGGGAGCCGCCGGGCTAGGAGACCAAGTGGTTGCCGATATCGTAGTTGTCGGAGGCCTGCAGCAGGAGGCCGGCAAGGAGGGCAACGGCGGCAGCGCTAACGTGGCAGACACGGTTGATGGACTGGCGGGCTTGCCCAGGGAGGCCCTTTCCTTCGTCTACGATGATGACGACGAGGGCAAGTATGAGATTGACGACGAGGAGGAGGAGCCTGCCGGGAAGAGGACAGTAGGCCCGGTGGTGGTGCGGGCGGGCAACAGTGGCCCTACAACTCAGGGAGGGAAGGGCGGTGGTGGTGGCGTGAAGACGGCTGCCGGCAGCAGCTTTGCAATGTCCGAGCTCAGCGATGTGGCTTCGGAGCTGGATGAGAAGGAACTTGAGAAGGAGTTGGGTGACTTGGATGACTAAGGCAGGCGGGAGAGTGGCAATTATAAGGCATGCAGGCAGGCCGGCAGGCGGAGAGATGCAGGGTGTGGAAGGGAGAAGCAGGCTGGGCTTGGAGTATGGTGGCGTGCGCTAGCGTGCGTGCCCTCCTATTGCAAAAGTGTATGTATTATTGTATGAGCAACGTGCATGAGCAAAGACGGCGTTTCACTATTGCTTACAAGTTTGAAGGGTGTTCAGCTTGCCGTGGGATGCTGTGGTTCAGTGACTCTCGGGAAGAGTGAGGAGGCAGGGCAACCAAGACTTGCCAACGCTTTACAAGGCAGTGATGCGTTTGGTAAGGGCAATTGCAGATGGTTTCTCCTAGCGGGGCTTACGGTTGCTGTCAAATGACATCGCGTATAGCAACATCCATCTCAGGGACTTCCTGGGGTGGGATACACTGTGTGTTTAACGTTGCGTGCATCATGATGCGGCTGCTCGGCACGTTTCACGGCTTACGACACATGACAAACTTTTGCTGTCAGCCGCCACCGTTGCGGCACCACTGCTACTGAACACTGACATCAGTGCCTGTGGTTTCCATGCTTGCTTTCGGAGGCACATTACGCCTCTTTTATGCGGGCATCCCTGGTTTCCCCTGCAGGGGTTGTGCTGGCATCTGAGCGTAACATGGGATAGCTTCACGAATGCTGGTCTAGTGCAGCGGCTTTGTGCGTGTCGTACAGCCCGCGGAGCATGATGGCTGATCGTTGCATCTTAACATGGCGTGCTTTGCCCATTCAGGCTTTCTCAGTGCGGTGGTGGTGCAAGAACAAATTAGGGACATGGTACCGATATGATACTAACGTGTGACTGCGTGTATAGTCAACTATAGCAGTTCTGTACGACTTTGTCCGTACACCGGTTCTTTTGCAACCGTTTGGACTAAATGTTTAATTTGTGCACCTGGTTTCCTTACCTAACCAGCCGGCTTGCTATTCTGCTGGCTGCGAACCTACCAAGATTACAGCTGTCCATGGCCAACTAGACCCGTGAATTGTAAGCATACAAACCCGTAGCCCCTAACCCAACATGCATGCCCTAACCCACATACATCTCGCCCTCAGGTAGGGCAGCCCATTCCGGCACCAACCTAGGTGCTAGCACATACCGGTACCTTCAGGCGACTGTCCCCATGTGCGTGGACACTGCATGCTGGCAAGGCAACAGTGCTAGATCCCCTTTTTGCCCTATGAAGCGAACAGTTTTGCATGTAGAGCGAATGTTCGCACTACCCATTCAGAGTAAAGCCACGTGGAACCGCAGCTGGCTACGAGCGGCAGCCTTGTAAGGTCCTACCCAAATCGCTATGCGCCTATCAGGTCCCATTGCTTATATCCAAGATAAGTCTTGCATTGTATTCTTGGCTGGGAAGGCAAACAACCCTTCAGGCTCTACGGGGCGTGTCGCCCTGCTGTAGCCCTCATCACTACGTACAAGGAGCCCTTGCAGGCCAAACGTGGTTAGGACGGGTGTTGCGTCAGCTTCAATGCTGGAGGCTGGATGCTTTGAAGGATCTGCTGAGGTCGAATGATTAGGCCTCATCTCAATGCGAACGCCCTCTCAGGCCGAGTGGTAAGGGCTCATCTTGATGCAAACCTCTGCCATGTCCTCATCTTGGCGAGCATCAGGGCCAAAGGCTAAAACCCTTGCTCCTTGCAGTGCTCACATGCATGCGCAAGTGGCCGTGCGGGCTGGTCTGGTGCTCCTGCACTCATGCACAGCGCCATCGGAGGCGGTTCTCAGCGGCCTGCGCATGCGCGAACAGTCAAACTAGCTAAAGGCCGCATCCCAGTTCGCTCGCAGCATCCCAACGTACGGTACGTCTGCAGGGGCTGTAGAGCCTTGTGCGCGTGCATGCATAAGACGCTTTAGCAAAGCAAGGTCATTGCAACTCATAGTCAGTTGTACACCCAATGCACTACTGTATACTGCTCTCGGTGCCAGAGCAAACAACTCCGTTGGAGAACCAAAAACAACCTCGTCAATCCGCCTAGAATCCCTGGCACCCGTATATTTCCCACCCATCATCACGCCCCCACCTCTTCCTTCCGCCCCTTCGCCGCACACCACTAGTCCTCGGCCCGCAGCTTCCGGAACGGCCCCCACCGGCCCGCGTACGGCACCGCAATCGTCAGCCACCTCAGCAGCATCATCACCATAAGGCCCGCCCACACCACACCCAGCTGCTCCTCCCCACTCAGCGGCAGCAATGACAGCTGCGCCGCGAGACCTTCTGCCGCGTTGGCTGCCACGCACGCCGCAGCGCCCGCTGCCACCCCCGCCTGCCGCATGAGCTGCTGGCACAGCCCGCCGCCCAGCTGCATGACAAGCATGGCAGGTACGGCAGCAACTGCCATGGATACGGCAGCGTAACGGAATCCGCCAGTGCCGTACAGAATGCCATCCCAGGCCATGGCGAGTACGGTGATGGGTTGCGTGGCGGCGATGATGGGGAAGAGGTCTGGAGGGGGGCGGGGGTTTAGAGGGACAAGGGATGACGCAAGAGATGGGTATTCACATCAGCGTGTTTTGGGGTTCGGTTTTTAAGGCAACGGGCTAAAGGGGCCGCCGAGTTTCGCCCACATATTGCAGGCGGTTAAGCTGGGCCCTAATAACCCTCCCGACTACTTGCCCCCCATGCCAAACACACCGGCATGCTCCCCACTTAAACCCCTACCTCGCCTAGCCCATGGCCTCCTCACCCTGCACCGCTACCATCACCCTACCCGCCCCCCGTCCCTCACCGCTCCCCATGCCCTCTGCACAGCTGCTCCTCTCCCCTCCCCTCCCGCCCCTTTCCCCTCCCCCTGTGGCTTCTCGGCTCAGTTTATGTACGGTAATCCCCCACTCACTCGCCACCAGTCGCAGCACCTCCGGGTCCGTGGAGAACAGCCCCGGCAGCACCCGCCCGCCCGCCGCCAGCACCCCCGCCAGCAGCAGCCCCAGCCCCAAGCTCAGACGGCTCACGCGCCCCGCCACCTGCCGCGCGCCCAGCGTGCAGCCGGCGCCCAGGTCGCGAGCCATGAGCGACTGCGCCGCCACCGCCAGCGCGTCAGCCAGCAGCGAGCAGGCCAGCCAGAGCTGTGGGGAGGGTGGAGGCGGGGGGGGGGGGATAAAAGATAAGTGCAGCAACGGAGTCTCAATCCCAAATCCCGACTCAGGAGGGGAGAGGAGGTTGAAAGGAGGAGGGATGAGATGAGATGGGATGCATGTGAGTGGCGATGAGACATGGCGTTTGGGAGTACGTACCGTAGTAGGAAGGTGGAGTACGGGTTACGGATGGCCACCCAAGACCCAAAACCCAACTGAGGGCACACACACGGTACAACACACACACGGTACAACACACACACGGTACAACACACACACGGTACAACACACACACGGTACAACACACACACGGTACAACACACACACGGTACAACACACACACGGTACAACACACACACACACACACGGTACAACACACACACGGTACAACACACACACGGTACAACACACACACGGTACAACACACACACGGTACAACACACACACACACACACGGTACAACACACACACGGTACAACACACACACGGTACAACACACACACACACACACGGTACAACACAGGGCAACCGCAGGGCCTCGCTGTCCCGCCCTCTCTGGCGGCCGGTGTCGCAGTGTGTTTCCTGGAATCGCACCTGGAAGCAGATCTGGTGGCTGGCCGCCACTGCGGGACCCGCCCTCGCCACCAGCGTGGTTGCCACTGCGTAGGTGGCGGTGACGGAGGCGCTGCGGAGCACCAGGAAGCCTGGGGGGGGAAAGGGGAGGGGAGGGGGAAGGGAAGAATGATTTAAGTAAGAAGTGCAGCAACTGGAGGGAGGGGAGGGAAACAAGATATTCCAATGTGTGGTGTGAGGGAGGAAAGGGAGGATACCGGTGGTGTGGGGGGGCAGGGCGCATGGAAAAGGCCTAGTCTAGCATCCTGCTCTTGCCGGTGCCGGTTGTGGCAGTTCGATGTGCGGGGGCGAGGAAAGCGGAGGTAAGGACAGAAGGAAATGCTCCGCCGCTTTTTTTCCCATGCTTTACCCTTCTCCCTTCGCCCGTCCGCCTCCCTTGCTTTCCTCACTCACCAGTGGGCTTGAACAGAGGCAGCACATCCGCCAGCGCCGCCCAGCCCTGCGCCAGACTGCCGACTGCTGCACCCTTCCCAACAGCACCAGCAGCCCCGCCCGCAGCAGCCCCCACTCCCGTCCCCGCTCCAAACAGCGGCAGGCGGCGGCAGAGCTCCCGCGCCATAAGGCCCAGCGGCAGCGCCTGCGCCGCCACCGTCGCCGCCGCCGCGCCCACCGCGCCCAGCTTCATTCCGAATACCAGCAGCGGGGCGAGTGCGATATTGATCGCGTTGGAGACCAGGGTGGCTTGGAAGGGCGTGCGGGTGTCCTGCAGGCCGCGGAAGACGCCCTGGGGAGAAAGGGGGGAAAGGAGGAGACGGAGGGGGTTGCTACGACCTGGATGTACGGTAGTCGGGTAGTAAATGGGGAGAAGCTTGATAATGATACACGGCGCACCTTCCCTCTCCTCGCTCAACCCCATAACTGCCACCCCCACCCCCACCTCCGCCCTCCACCACCACCACCACCGCCCCGCCCAGCACCCCCACCTGCAGCGTGAGCATGAGGATGGTCACCGGCGCCCCCGCCGCCCGCACCAGCAGAAACGCCACCGCCGCCTCGTACACCGGCGACTGCGGCGCCACGCCCCACACCCGCACCAGCCACTGCCCGCCCGCAAGCAGCAGCGCCGCCTGCGCCAGCCCCACCAGCGCAGCCAGCCAGATGCAGGAGGAGGCGGCGCGGGCCTGGGCGGCGGCGGCGGCGGCGGCGGCGGTCTGCAGGGTGCTGGGAGAAGACACGGCGGCAGGCTCCGCCTCCGCCACCTCCTCCGCGGCGGCTGCTGCCGCCGCCGTGATCGCCTCCTTCGCCGCGCGCGCCGCTCCGGTTGCCTTTGCCACGCTGCTTGTGGTGACTGCCAGCAGCGGCACGTTGAAGAGCTTGGTGGCGGTGTTGAAGACGCTGAGCGCCACCCCCACCGCCGCCAGCTGGGAGGAGCCGGCGCGGCCCAGGTAGGCGCTGTCCACCAGACCCGCGATGGGGTCGGCGGCCAGTGTGGCTAGCATCTGGGGGTGAGAGGAGGGGGACGGGGGGGGTGATTGAAGGCAGGCTAAGAAAGGCATGCTGTGGGGCGCATTGGTGACCGACCAACAGGCACTCAGAAATACAAGGGTAGAAAAGAGGAAGCAACTAAGTTACTGCATGTAATGGCTTCATCATGGTTTGCAACATGTGGGCCAATCCATCCCGCGCGGGGAGAGGAGAGGGAGGGAGCAGGGAGGGCAGGTGCAGGCATGCAAGCCAAAGCTCACCGGCAGAGCAATGGATAGGATCTCGGCATCCAGGGCGCGCAGGTCCTTGTACGGAGATGAGGGTACGGCATCAGGTACTGCCGCAGTTGCCTCCGCTGCCGTACTTCCTGCTGCCACGTCGGACGTGGTTGCCGCTGTTGCCGATGAACCCGCATCATCCGTACGACGACCAGGATCGTACGGCGGGCTGGGTCCCGTCACCGGGTTGTCCGCGTCGGTTTGCCTGGAGGCACACACATAGGACAACATGGCGGGGTACGATCACGACCATCCATCACCGCAGGTGGAGAAGGACTAACGGCCAGTCATGGAAGGAAAGCGCTAAGTTCCCATCCCTGGAGACCAGCAGGGCACGCTGCCAAGCGTTGTTTGGCGCTACGTGCCCCTGTTTACACCGCAGTTGTGCGCTTTTCCCTGCCACTGCACATTGGGGCAACGTGGGGCACAATGCCGACCTGTCTGCCACCGCCACCTCCTCTCCGTCCCCCTTGCCCACAGCGGGGCCATGGCTCCGAAGCGCTAGCGTTTGGATGGGGGCCCGGGGCGCGAAGTCAGGTCTAGGAAGCCGAGGGGCGCCATTTTCTAGTTTTCTTGCGTACTGCAATGCCGGTACCGACTGCGAGGCGTATACGGCTGGTAGCCTGCCAGAATTGGCTTTAGGATTAAGGAGAAGTTGGTAAGGGGTCTGAGTAAGGGCGGCTGAGGGCCGTTGTTGGTACTTCGTGGCGTGGGCGTCGCTGCATGGGCCAAAGCCCATCCGGCCACAACGCCCCGTCGTGAGGGGCCACGACATGCTGATCTTGTAACCAGTGATGAATGCTACATGCGATTGACGCTGCAATGTTGATCCCAGACCTGACCAGAATGGCCGTCCGCTAGCGTGATGCCATCGTACATAGGTAATTCGGCAACGGAGCGACAGGTACGTTCAGAAAGTAGCATTTGCTCATACAGCGGAATAGCTAGGGCCATTGTAAAGCTCTATATGTGAACAAATGGCACGCTATGACCGAGCCACTAGGATTTTGGACCCCGAGTGGGCGTCCTTACCTCTGGAGCTGTTACATGTAAGATCCATGCCCTAGGCCTTCTCGTATACCTTTGTAGGAAATGCCTTTCTGTGCAGAGGTGTCGGTTTCCACTTCTCTCCTTGCATGTGCAACAAGTTCAGCCGCATTAATGTGTCGGATTTATTGTTTGCGCAATGGGATGCTTTACAAGTGATACATAGGAGGCGTGCAGCTGCGGCCGAGGGTAAGCCGTTCGTTCCCAGATGAGCCACGTCCCTACCTCGAATGCCTGCAGGAGGTAGCTGGGCGGCTCCCCTCCTCACAGCTCTGTTGCTTTGCATTAGTCTGTCGATCATGGCGGCAGGCAACGCTGCCGCTGGTCACGACCCTGCATGCGCCAATGACAAGCGAGGTGACGCTGCCAACGGGCCCGCCTGGCATGCAGCGACTAGAGGTCGTGCGGCGCTACCTTTCAAACATCAAATCAACCAACACCCCGTCAAACAACTCAAGCGGCGCACTACCTCCCTCCCAACCATCACCATCATCACCCACATCTCCGCCTCTCCTACCCAGCCTCCTTAAGCGCTTTCCCTTTGTCCGCACGCTGGGTCTGCACCGCTCCAGCCTGCAGCACCCCGCCTTCGAGGCCGCTGCGCTGCAGAGCGTGGCCGCCTGCCAGCCGCAGGTCACGCAGCTGCACCTGTACGACACCCTTGCCTGGGACTTCCCTCAGCAGCTGCCCAACCTCGCCGGCATGACGCAGCTGGTGACGCTGAAGCTCTGGGGGCTGGGGGCGCCGGGGCTGGATGTCAGCGCGCAGGTGGGGGCGGAGCGGCGGGAGGCGGGGCGGGAGGCGGAGCGGCGGGAAGCGGGGATGGGACAGGGCTGGGCGTAGAGAGGAAGAGGTAACCTCATGATGACGCGGCCCCAACACCTCGCACGCCCTGCCGCCCTGCCTGTTGACTCCCGTCCTCTCCCTGCCCTGCCCTGTCCGCACTCCCTGTCCTGCCCGCCCTCCCTGCCCTGCCCGCCCGCCCTGCCTGCCCGCAACACCCACTCCCACACCCCTCCGCAGTGGTCCTACAGCCGGGGCCTCATGGCGCTCAGCAGCCTCACCCGGCTGCAGGAGCTCACCCTGAGGTGGCTGTTCGGCAGGTGGGGGCGGCGGAGGGAGGGAGGGAGGAGGATGAATAAAAACAGGTCGTGTGCGCCCTTCTAAAACCGAACGAGACGTGTGTCAAGTCTGGGCCCCATTTCATCCTCCCCTCCCTCGCCCCCTCCTCCACCTACCCTGCCCCTCACAGGCAGGAGGTGGTGTGGACGTGTCCCACCACCCCCCGCCTGGTCCGCGCGCTCACGGACGGCGGCTGCCGGCTGCGCTCGCTGGACCTGAACGCCTTCCTTCTGGACCCGGGGGCGGCCGCCTCGCTGGCGCGGGTCAGCTCGCTGAGGTCGCTGTCGCTGTACTTTGATGCGGAGGCGGCGGGGTGGGAGCAGGTGGGGGGAGGGCTGGGTTGGGGTGGGGGAGGTGGAGGAGGAGGAAGAGGAGGAGCAGCAGGAGGGCTTTCTTGCTGGTGTTGTTGTTCACCGGATAGATAGATTCCGTGGTCCGGCCGCCGCCTCTGCTCCGCTTTACCTTCTGTAACCTTGTCAAAAAGGATCGTGTGAGACGAGAGCATGGAACCCACATGCATGTCGCCCCGGCTCCTGCCCCCCTCCCCCCCGTTGCCCCCAGGCGGCCTCCCTGATGTCGCTGCCGGAGCTCACTCGCCTCATCCTGAGCTACGAGGGGGACGCCATGGCGGGCCCATGGGTCGGTGACGGCCCGCCCGCGGACGAACCGCCGCCCCCACCTGCAGCAGCGGCAGCAGCAGTGCCACCGAACCTGGGAGCAGGGGCAGCGGCAGCAGGAGGAGGAGGAGGGGCAGGTGCTGTAGGCGGTGACGGCCACCAGCACAACCATGCAACACCTGGCGCGGCTAACGGCGCCGGTTCCTCTTCTGCCGCCGCTCCGAGCAGCGGCAGCAGCGCCCTTCCGCTCCACCCCTTGACGTCTGCGGCTGCGGGTACGACGAGTAGCGGCGGTGGCAGCAGCGGCAACCACAACCCTCACATCAGCGCCGCGGCAGCAGCACCTGCTGCTGCCTCCTCCTCCACTCCCCGGCGGCGGCTGCCCAGCTGGGCCGCCCGCCCCTACTCCCTGCAGTACCTCAGCCTGACCACCTCCCCCGCGCTGCACCCGCTGCTGGGGCGGATGGACGTGCTGCTGCCGCACCTGACCTACCTCTCGCTCTCCAGTGTGGGGGAGTTTGGCAGCGGGCAGAAGGAGCTGGAGGCGGGGCTCATGGTGGGGGGGGGGGGCTCATGGTGGGGGCCGGGGGGGAAGGAGAACAGATCATGTTGGAAAGACCATACCTGGGCTTAGGAAAGCAGGAATTGGGGCAAAGCAATGGGGACAGGAGGCGGCAGAATGAGGGGGAGGTTGGAGTGGGGGGAAGGGGCAATGGGGCGGCGTTGAAACGCTGGCAGTGAGCATAGTATGCCCGATGCCTAGCACCCGGGGTGGAGGGAAGGGGGGGGTGGTGGAGGGAAGGGGGGTGTGGAGGGAAGGGGGGGGGGTGGAGGGAAGGGGGGGGTGGAGGGAAGGGGGGGGTGGAGGGAAGGGGGGGTGGTGGAGGGAAGGGGGTGGTGGAGGGAAGGGGGGGGGGGGTGGAGGGAAGGGGGGGGGTGGAGGGAAGGGGGGTTTGAGGGACCGGTCTGGCATGCGGAGGGAGGGTGGTGACGGGGGAGCAGGGGCTGTCCCGCCTCTCGCTTTCCTGCTCCCAACCGGACGTGTCAACACCCTGCACCCCTCCCTTGCACTGCCCCCCTTGTGCTCCCACTACTTCCCCCATTCCTGCCATGCAGGCCATGGCGCAAGCGGGGTCACGCCTGTCTCGCATCAAGCTCTTTTGCATGGTAAGCAGCCCCCCAGCGGACTTGGCCGTCCCTCGGGTCGGGCAGCATGGTGCTGGGTGTCTACCTCATGTTAACCCCGCGCTGCCATGTCCTGTCAAATCCTCCCACCGTTTCCCACAGCGGATTGTCTCCTCCCCACGCACCTCCTTCCACTTGACTCTTGCACCCCCCCCCCCACAATCTGGCCCCGCGCATGCAATCCCCCTCCCTGACCCTCCCTGACCCTCCCTTTCTCAGGAGCTGCGTCCGGAGCTGCTCGCCTCCCTCACCGCGCTGCCCTGCCTGCAGGAGCTCATGCTGTTCAACGTCTGGGTCGCCCTGGAGCCGCAGCCACCCGCAGCAGCGGCTGCAGCGGCAGCACTACCCCTGCAGGCAGCAGCAGCAGCGGCAGCAGCGGCAGCACTACCCCTGCAGGCAGCAGCAGCAGCGGCAGCAGCGGCCAACCAGCAGCCACCGCAGCACCAGCAGCAGCAGGCAGCAGCTGCGGGGGGTGCGGGTGCGGGGCCAGCAGCTGCGCAGGCTGCAGTGCAGCCGGGGGAGCAGCAGCAGCACCAGCAGCCAGGGGCGCATGCAAACGCGGCTTTAGCAGCTGCGGCTGCGCTGCTGGCAGATGCCATGGCTGCGGGTGGCTCGGAGTCGGAGGGGAGCGGCGAGGGAGGGGATGACATGCTGACGAGCTCCTCGGAGGGTGGTGATGGTGAGGAGCAGGGTGACGATGATGGTGGTGGTAGGGGTGCGGGTGCGGGAGGTAGTGGTGGTAGTGGTGGAGGTGGTGGTGGTGGTGGAGGTGGTGGTGGTAGTGGTGGTGGTGTGGCAGCTGCCGGGGCCCCACCAGCTGCGGCTGCAGGGAGCAGTCAGCAGCAGCCGCAGCAGCCGCAACCCCAGCCGGCTGTTCCAGCGCAGCAAACGCGGGAGCAGCAGGAGGAGTACCTGAGTGGCTTGTTACATACCGTGTGGCAGCTGCAGCAGCAATTGCGGCAGGAGCAGGCGCTGATGCAGCAGCAGCCGCAGGCGGCGGCGGCGGTGGCGGAGGGTGAGCAGGGAGCTGAGGACGAGGACGGGGCTGCTCCTGCTGCTGCTCTTGCTGCGGGCAACAACACCAATAACAATAACAACAACAACGCTGTCATTGCCGCGCTGCAGCAGCATATCGCGAACCTGCTGCAGGTGCAGAACGTGGGCCCTCTTTGGCAGGCGCTGGTGGACCACACGGCGCAGGAGGTGGCGGAGCAGCTGCAGCAGCTGCAGCAGGGGGAGGGAGGGGAGGGGGCGGCAGCAGCAGGGGGTGGAGTAGGGGCAGGAGGTGGAGGGCATGTGGCGGGGATTGTTGGGTTAGACGAGGAAGGGGAGGAGGGGGAGGGTGCGGAGGGGGAGGGCGCGGAGGAGGAGGAGGAGCAGGAGGAGGACAACGCGCCGCCGCATGAGAGCGAGCTGATGAGGAACGCGCTGCGAGCGACAGCCGCGGTAGGTCGGAACGGGGGGGGGCGGGGCGCACCTACTAGCCTGCACCCATCTCCGCTCCCATCTCAACAACTCAAACCCACCAACTTACCTCCCTTACCCACTCCTCACCCCCTTGCTCACCTCCTCCCTGCCTCCCCCCCCCTCCCCGCCTTCAGGCCCAGGCCCACTTGGAGCCGCTGGCCGGGCTGCGCGGGCGGCTGCAGCAGCTGCTGATCGAGTTCGGGCCGGAGGGCAGCACCTGCTTCATCACGCAGAGGTGGGGAGAGGGGAGCAGAGGTGGGGGTGAAAGAGGGGTGAAGGTATGGAAACTGACGAACTGGTGGGGGGGAGGGGTGGGTAGGGGGAGAAGCGTATTACCCTGGGATGCGCGTGGGAGGCGGGGCGTGGAAGCACATGACATCCTTGGCAGTTGGCATCTGAGTCCTACCCGCTTCCCTTCCTTTCTGCTCCTCATTCTCCCTGCCCCGCCCTTCCACCTCGCCACCAACCTCTCCCCGCCTCGCCTCCTCCTTCCCTCCTCTCTACCCTCCCGCCCGCCCGTGCACCCCCAACCCCCACCTCCCCCCCCAGCCTGGTTCGTGCCCTGGAGCCGCTGGCGCCGGGTCTTCGCTCGCTGCACCTGCTGTCGTGGAACATGGAGGGGCTGATGCTGTCGGCTCCGGAGCCGCTGTGCTTTACCGCCTTCACCGCACTCAGGTCGCTCACGGTGGCCAACCGCATATGCCCCGACTCGCAGGTAGAGGGGGGGGCGGGGTGGGGGATGGGGGGATACAGTAGGATAAAGGGGGAAGGAGCGGCGGCGGGGTTGGGCGGTGAGGGACGCAGGGAAGGCGGGGAGGGAGGAGGGGGGGAGCGCTTGGGTGGGGGAAGTGGGGAGGAGGGGCTGTCGCTGTGATACCTGCCCTGGATGCCCTACCTCTTCCTCCTACCTTCTACCTCTTGCCTGCATCTTGAAGAGAAGTAAATGTATGTATGTTACATGTATAGGTTGTAGGTTTTGACTTCACCCGTTACCTGCCCGACCCACCGCCTGTTTGCCCGTGCAGGTGAACTTCGCTGCGCCGCTGCCCGAGACCGCCGGGCACGTGATCTACACCGGGCAGCTACCTAGGTGGGGGGGGGGGGAGGGGGGGAGGGGGGGAGGGGGGGAAGGAAGCGGTTGGGGAGGTTGGAGGAAAGCGGGGGTGGATGTAGGCGGCACGGAAGGGTCATCCGTGGAGGTTCGTATGCACATGCCTATACCGGTACTCTTCATAAGACCCTAACCTCCCAACCCTGCTGCCCTCCATCTCCCTCCCTCCCTCCTCCTCCTCAGGACCCTCAAGAGTCTGTGCGCCAACCGCGTCAACATCGTAGCCGGCATGCCGCCCTCACCCGCACCCGCACCCGCACCAGCAGCGACAGCGACAGCGCAACCTGCAGCGGCACAACACCAACCTCCGCCTCCACCTCCGCCTCCACAACCGCAGCAGCAACCAGGGGCAGGAGGAGCAGCCTCCCAGTCGGGGACAGCAACAGCAGCAACCACCTCCCAACAACCCGGGCAGGCAGGTCCGGCGGGGACGGCAGCAGCCGCTTCCACCACCTTCACCACCACCACCGGCAGCAAACATACCCCTTCGTCAACCCCCGCCGCCGCCTCCACCTCCACTTCCTTACCCCCACAGCCCACCTCCGCCCCTCCTCCTCCTCCTCCTCCTGCTCCTGCTCCCCACCTCATCGCCCCCTCCCTCCACCACCTCTGGCTGGCCGACTGCAACGTTCGCGGCGGCAACCCGGAGCAGCTGGCAGCCGCCATGCCCTGCCTGCAGACCCTGGTCATACGGCACGTCAGCAAGCCGGATGACCTGCCCGCCGCGCTGGTAGGGGCGCTGCGCGGCTGTCGCGACCTGAGCACGCTGGGGCTGGGCGGCTTCTCCCACCGGCAGCTGGGGGCGCTGCAGGGCCTCACGCAGCTGCGGCACCTAATGTTGGACCCGCGGAGGGTGGAGGATGCGGAGCTGGATGAGGAGGTGGGGGTGGGAGGAGGGAGGGAGGCGGGGAGGGAGGGAGGGAGGGTGCTAGCGGGGGGGTGGTGGTTTGGATGGGGAAGCAGGGCAAGGCACAGTGAACGGAACGAAGGAGCGGGGTGGAGAGGGAGGGTGCTCTTTTCCCCGCCCGTCTCGACCTTTTCGCCCTCCGTTTTCCTCCGCCCTCCCCTTCTCCCCACCTCCTTCGGTATAACCTTCGACTCCCCCTCTCCGATTCTTCCCCCCCCCCCCCAGCTTGTGTTGGACGTGGTCCCCGGCGAGGGCGACCGCTCGCTCGCCTTCCACGAGGACGTTATGTCGCTGGTGGCGGCGGGCGGGCAGCGGCTGCGCTCCGTGTGGCTGCCCGACTGGGCTGTGCCGCCGCACCAGCTGGTGCAGTGGCAGACGCAGGTGGCGCAGGTGGGGGGGCGGGCTGGGGGAAAGGGGGGAGAGGGAGGGGGAGAGGGAGGTTGGTAAGGACTCAGAAGGAGGGAATGTCAAGTGCCCATGCGAGGATGGAGGGCCCACGGAGAGAGAGTCCCAGTCGGGGTAGTCTAAGATGGAGGCGGCGGGTTGTTGCAGCGCTATTTACGATGAGGAGATGAGCAGATGGCGCAGTACACCTCACCCTTTGCGCTCCCGCCCACCTCCTCGCCTCCCTCCCCTCCCGGCCGGAGCTTGTCATCTGGTTTGCATTTTCATGTAACACACTGTGTGTCCTTCTTTCCTCTCCCCTCTCCCCTCCTCCCCAGGTGGCCCCCCTGGCGGCGCTGCGGCTGGTAGAGCACCACTACTTTTGGCGGCTGCCGGCGCCGGTGGGCTGCCCCGAGGTGCAGGACCGGCTGCAGTGGTGGGGTTTCGACGCGTGGAACGTGCTGTAGGGGGTTGTCCAGAGGAAACGACTAACGAACTGTGTGATAACTGATAAGACGTCATCGGAGGGGGGGGGATACGGGGATAAGAGAAGTGCAGCAACGGGTTGGGGACACATGGAAGGGGTGCAGGGATGCCGGCTAGGACTGATGGCTGGGTACGGTGTCGTGCGGCAGGTTTGGAGAGGGCGCGCGCACGTTCCGACTCGCGGCCAGTGTTCTTAACACAAGCCCAGACGCAGCAGCAGCACTCGGGTCGCAGTGGCACGCGTGCCGTGCAGGATGGCGGTGTTGGGTGTTTGAGAGAGATGTGCTCTGAAAAGGCAAGAGGGGCTTCTCGGGGATTGGCCCTGGGTTGGATCCTACGCCATTTGCTGTCGTTCATGACGAAAGACGCGGATCATAATGCTGAGGCGTGGAGAGCAGCCACATGTTGGGGGCCCTGAACCTTCGGGTTTATTCAGGGTACAATATGTAGGGTCCTGCTCTGCTCCTCTTTGCTGCTCTCCGCTTAATGCCATGCTAGCATACCGGTAGTACGTAACTCTGCCTCTGCGGCATCTCCATCGAACTCCTCAAACCCATTCAGTAAGACCCTTCTAAAACCCTTCTTCAACTAATGCCATGCTAGCATACCACAGCTCTGCCTCTGCGGTATCAAAAACCGTCTAAACCATTATGTATACCCACTCTTCCTGCGTCTTCCCCACGGTGAAGCTGAAAATGCGAGGCGGGGTTAGCCGGTGTGGACACCTCACCTAGATGGCTACCGTTATGTCTCATGTGATGCCCTTTAGGAACCTTGACATCTGACGGCACCCCTATGGATCCTGTTTCCTTTTTACTTGTACGCGCCGTGATATGTATGTGACCTAACGTTGAAAGATGTTGGCGGGACCCTGATGGGGCATGCGAGGGTGAGGTAGGCATCAGCGTGTGTGTATTACAACAGACGCATGGACCGGCGTCTCAGCCGTACGACGGGGAAGGCGTTTCTAGGATTTTAAAGTCCTGAAGACGCATGTTACTGCAACTGAGCGTTGCAGCCCAAAATCAACCAAAAAATGTTAGACCTCGGGAACGGAACTCCTGAAACTCACCATACGAGACATAACACCTCCCGAGACGCAACCAACAACATACACGCAAGGTCGCAGCTCGAGAGACCACACAGAACAAATGTTCGAGGTGCCTGGGTCCATGGCGTTACAAGGGCTCTAACACGTGCCGTACACATAGGCTGTACGGCATCTCGCAACTCCTACAACTCTGCTTTCATCGCGCCATTGCAACACCCGCTGTACGCTACAAGGTATCATCAAGGTGTGGAAAGCCACAGCTCAAAGTTACAAACGTTGGCAGGCGCCACGAGTTTGGAAAACAAGGGAAGCCCCATGGGAGCAAAAAATGATAATAGGCTGTAATCACAGAGACGCACCTAATACGTGCAACTCCAATAGACAGCAGCATTCGAGAAAGGCGTCTAAGCTGAGCTATAACATCGTAATGAGCAGCGCGAAACAACCACTAGCATGTAAAGCCAGTACGACGCTATTGCCGTACTCAACAGTATAAGCTACATAAGACTACAGATAAGCGAGACACGAAACGAAAACCCTAGCTGTCTAGTCCTGCAGGCTTCCCCACAGCGCAGCCGTTCCAGGCCACAGTAGGAACTAATCGCTGCTGCACCTATATCCATACAGATAAAGAATACAAGGGGAAGACATAGAAACCAACTAGTACGATGTCCGTAACCTTTGCAGCGAGCAACAAGGCTGTATATCAACGCACTTCTTTGTTCCTAACAGAGGAACAAATCCAACACTTAACACCATACGGTACCACACTACACGAATCGTACACCTCGGAACATCTACCTGACACTGCTACATCCTCATGTCCGCTATAAACTTACCCACTTGCCAGGCCCCCCAACAGCTCAACGTCCCCCTTCCCACGCCTCCTCACAGCACCACATCCTCCGCCCCCAGCCCCTCCAAAAAGGGGTGCCTCAGCGCCTCGCTGGCAGTGGGTCGGGCGGCGGGGTCCGCAGCCATGAGCGCCCGCACAAAGCTCACCAGCGCCTCCGGAGCCCACTCGGGCACCTCACACACGCACTGCGCGTAGCGGGACCCCGTGCCGCACCCCACGCGGCCAAACGCGCACACGGCCACCACCGCCCCCACGCTGAACACGTCAGCCTTGGCGAGCAGGGCTGCGGGCGGGTGCGAAGAGAGGAGCAGCTCGGGGGCGGAGAAGCAGTCGTGCGGGGCCGCGGAGGCTGCGTCCCCCGTGTTGCCCGCCAGCCTGACCCTCCCCTCGGCGCTGATCAGCATGTTGGCCGGGCGCACGTGCAGGTGAGGCACGCCGCGGGAGTGCAGGTGGGTCAGCGCGAGCAGCGCAGAGGCGGCCACGCAGCGGAGGCGGCTCAGGGGCAGCAGGGGTCCAGCGGCGGGGGAGCAGGAGGAGGAGGAGGAGGAGGAGGCGGTGTGCAGCAGGGCAGAGGTGGCAGTGTCCTGTGGGGAGGGACGGGTGGGAGAGGGAGGGTGTAAGAGGGAAGGAGGGGCCATGGGAAGTTAACCTGGGCGAAATGACATCTTGGATACAGCATGCAAGGATTAAAAGTTGCGTATCGTAATGCAGTTCAGGCGTGCCTCCAACTGGCGCTGAACTGTCACAGCATGCGGCAAGAAACTCCACCCAACCTTTACCCAAACCCGTGAATGTGACCCCCTACCCCCTCCCTCCCTACCATTTCCTGCTCCAGGCTGCCCCCCTCCGCGAAGTCCGTCAGCAGCTCCCAGCGGTCCGGCAGCTCGCGACCGCCCAGGCAGCCGACCAGGAAGGGACTGCCGCAAGAGGCCTGGGAAGGGGGAGGGGAAGGGCCGGAAGGGAAGGAAAGCGGTGTGAAATGAAGATACGACATGGCAAAGTATCAAAGCAACATAGGAATTTACAGGAGTGCTTGCTGATTCCCCCAAGTCCCCATCCATGCAGCCAACCATACCTAGACAAAGCTCCCTCCCTTTCCCCTGCTTCCCATCCGTACTTACCAGCAGCCCCCTCGCCTCCGCCTCCATTACCGCCTGCCCCCGCGAGTCGTCCCCACACAGCCACAGGGTCTTGCGAACCGCCAGCTGAGCGGAACCGTCGCGGAACACAACACGGACCAGGTCCACGTCAAAACGGGGATCATCGCTGCCGCTGTTGCTGCTGCAGGAGTTACCGCTCCCTGCTAGACGCGTGATCAGCATGCAGGACTCGATACCCCGGGGGTCGTAGGCGATGGAGAAACGTCTCTGATCGGCTGCCATAGGGCTATCCTCCTGCTGCTGAGACTCCACCTGAAACCCAACCGCAACCGTCCCCTCAACCGCGGCCTCAACGTCGACCTCAGCGTCAGTTTCAACCGAGGCCAGGGGTGGTGGAGCCTCGTCCAGAAGCTGCGGCAGCGGCTGCTGGAGGGCCGACGCCTGAAATGACGACGGCCCATGGGTCAGCCAGGCTGCTTCAAGGGCCTGGGAGGTCGAAGCCGCCTCCTGTAGCTGTCCCAGCTGACAACTGGCAGTACGCGACAGGCCGTTGTCCTGGACGGCTTCAGGCTTCCAAGGGAGGGGCGCTGTGAAGGCGCTGGACTCGAGCTGGAATGGGGGCAGGGCTTGGGGCAGTTGGTGTTCGCAAGCCGCCATGGCCACAGGGGACTGATCCTCCGCTCGGTCGCCAACTGCCAGACGTGACGACATCTCCAGCTGTGAAGACGGCAGGAGGTCCACAAGGGGGGATGAAGAACACGCCGAGACTGAGGGCCGAGGCTGGCTCTTTGGGGCGGGTGAGGAGTCGTCCTGAGGAGCAGCCGGCAGCAAACGGAGCGGCGATGACAGGTAGGCCAAGGCGGGGCGGCTGTTGAATGGTTGGGGAAGCTCCAGGGAAATTGGCTCGGAGTGGGATGCCGGGTACGGCACAAACTCGACGGCTTGTACCGTACTCTGCTCCACGACCCGCTCCATTGGCACAGGCAGGTCGTCAGCCAGGGATTGGGGAATAAGTGCAAAGGGCCCGCGGGTCTTCTCGTCGTGGACTAGGTCATGGCGAATGGTAACGACGCAATCCCCATGTAGCTCCGCGCAAGCTTGGACCTTGGCTTGCTCCGGGACAGGCGATTGGTCCTCACCGCAAAGCCTGGCGTCAAGCTGTCGAGGCTGCTTTCCTTCATCCTCAGCTTGGCAGGGTTGCCCTGATGCCGAGTCGCGCTTGCCGACCGCGATGGTCAGCCAACAGTGCACGGTGTCGTCATGGGAACTGCAAGAGTCGATGCTGCTGACGCTGAACCGGTTGTGTAGACCGCTCCCACAGTAGCCGGGGTTTTTATTGACCTGCTCATAACCAGTGTGTTCGACTACTGGCCCGAGAGGCAGTAGGCTTTCGACGTGGTACAAACGGGATGGCGATGGAAGGATGGACATGGTGTTAGGGTGGAAGGGAATCTCCACTTCATGTTCGCCTTCTTCATAGTTGTCCTCGTCGGTCTCGTCAATGTCAGACTCGCGGTCAGCGGATAGGGCCGAGGACATCGAGTAGGTCTGTGGGGACGGGCAAGCATGGCATTACGCTTACATTAATTGCTTCTGTAAGCATCTATTTTCCAGAGCAAGCCATGCCCCAAAGCACACAGGTATCGAATGCAATTTTCCAATATAACAAACCTACCATGAGAAGCGCCGTTTCATTTGCAGTAGACGACGGTATGCTCGCTGCGATAAGTAAGGAGACTGCAGCAGCACCAACCACGAGGGAGGCAATGCCGACACCCAGGCCGAAGCGCATTGTCACTGTGGAACTAAACAGTGCGAACTAACCGCAAAAACACTAAAAACCTACGAGTCTACAAGTATTGTGCCTTCTGGCCTAGGAAGAAAGCGACTATTAAACCAAGAGGCAAGGCAGTTGCCATCTTAGTAACAAAGGCGCGCAAAATTCAGTAGGCGTAAGTACATGAGAGAATAAATGCATTTAAGCTTTATGGTTGACCTGTGCTCTGTCGTAACATAGAAATTACCAGTAGCGAAAAGCGATGGCCGGCGGGAGAAGAATGCTGTACGGCGTCTTGTACTGCAAGGTGACGAGTCCGTTGCGCTCCTTGCGTAGCAGTCAGCCTGGATACCCGTTGCGCTTTAAATCGAATGTAAATCAGTCTCCCTTGGGTCCAACTCATGCGGCGTGTGGTTACATGCTAACGATGGATGGACGGGTTGTCCTCAATCCAGCTGCTTCGTTACAACTGTATACAGCTACGGAACTCATGCAACAACGTTCGGATCTTAATGCCACGCAAGGGTAGGAGGGCCAGGGGGCAGGGGTGGGCAGCAATTTGATCCAATTACCACACGTCTAGGACGCCTGTTCTCCTTGACTTGGCTTTACACGACTTTCTTTCGCGTTCAAGTCAAACACCTTCTGAGTGTTGACATCCCTCTCGACATACGGACGACGACTTCCTGCCTTCTTTGGACAGGAAAACTACATCATTTCACTGGTTTCAAGTTAAAGGGCACTCCAGGAAAGGGGGGGGGTGAGTTGGGCAGTGCAAGGGTAACTCGGGCTAACCAGGAGATTCTGAGCGGGGTTCTGAGCGTGTCATATTATCGACCAGGTTATTTTAACGGTTGGCTGCTCTTGCAAACGCGCCAACGTGATGGTGAAAGCGTGGTCTACTCGCATTCAGTGATGGTGCCCATGGCTGCCATCGCTGCCACACACTTAACGTTCTGAAAGCGTGTTACCTGTACCTATACGTTTTGACGTATTGTGCTTACCTATTGAACAAGTAATTGCCAGAGGTATGCCTGTGGATTTTGTAAGCTTTCGCTCCCTAAAGCAATCTTAGCTTCACTTGAGCTCTGGTGTGCCGTGTGCAACTGGGCTACGCCACTACGTATAATTTCTAAATTCTTACAAACCTCATTATTTAAGATCGCCTCTCCGCTTATGAAATCCGAGAGCCATATGACTAAGCTGTGGATTCGATTAAAGCTTGGACGTGAAACTCTGTCAAATCTAAAAGCCACGATGTCATGAGAAGCTGCGAATATAACATGATGTATTAGGAAAACAGTTAGTGGTTTCAGTGGGGCAGCGGCATGTAAAGTCCGTGTCCCGCCTTCGCGCTACGGGTTACCGTGCAGGCTCGTGTAATACTACGGAAACCAAAGTACTATATATCCCGTATGGAAGTTGTTACCTTCAACAGTTTCATGCTATTCTGTCCCTATCCGCAAGTCAGGTTCCTACCTTACTAAGATGGTCGTCACTGTACCCGTCGGCGTAGCTATTGCTTTCTGCGCTGTTGCCGCACATATAGCACTCCCTTGGGCGATATTATGGGCTTTCTCTTCAATAGGAGCTGCTTTGGCGCTAGGCTGCATCACAGCTGCAGCAATTGTCTGTGTGGGCATGGTCATGGCCGCACTCTTCGGAGCGGCCTCCATAACTTGGATCGTTGTAGTGAGCACTACACACGTATCCGTGACCAGGCCGTTGCACCTCACGGTAAGTTCATCACGTGGTACCGGTAATCCATTACACTTTTGCTTGGCTTGCTCTCTCGCCCATCTTCCCATCTTTCTTCAACTCTATCGCCTCGACCCGATTGCCTCGGGGCTGTTGCCTCCCAAAAGAGAACCCAAGATATGCAACATAACGTTCCCTGAATCCCTTATGCAGGCTCCTGCCGCGCCAATCTTAATTGAACTCCTTGGGGAAGACCAGGAGCAAGAACATGACAGCGGCAGCAACGACGACGAAGAAGCCACACTTGCTTATCACCCCCATATCACGACATTCATCTCACCACCTTCGTCTCTGTACGACAGCGACAGCGACAGCGACAGCTTCTCCCTAGATTCCGCTATCAATCCGGCCACTCCCAGCCTCGATCCCTGCGGCAGCTTCGCCCCCAGCCGTGCAAGCTCCAGCAGCGGCGGCTACTTCAGCTCCTCACACGGCTCCATGCGAGGATGGTGGAGCAACGGCGGTGCATCCGAATACCACCCTGAGGCCGAACATGAGCCGCACCACCATACCCACCACACCGCCAAATTCCATACGCAACCGCAGCAGCCCCAGGTCGAGGGGCTTCGCCCAGAGATCCAAGCCGAGGCCCCGGGGGAGGCGCATGCCCAGCCCCACTCTGAGTCCCGTGGCAGGAGGTGGCAGGAGGGTGCCCGTGACGAGGAGCGAGCGAGTGCTGTACACGCCTACTGCGGAGCCCCCCAGGTGCGCCTGGCGCCTTTCGTTGATATGGCATAGGGTTTGTTCGTTGCATGATGTCACGCCTTTAGCCCTAGACGTATTTACACATGTCGTGGAATGGCACACCCGACGCCCATTCTGCTAGCAAGGGCAGCGTCCAGTATCCCAGCACGTGCACTGTGCCTTCACCTTGCTGTGTTCAATTGCCATGACTTGTTAGCCAGTTACCATGTATCACATGCCTCTATTCCGCCTCATGTTGCAGGGGCAGCCGCAGGAAGGAGGGGACTCTCAGGCTGATGGCGACTGTAGCACCGGCGCTGAACCTGAGTCTGCCACCGACACCGAGGGAGGGGACGTTGAGGACCCGCGGCTGGTGAAGACGTGCACGTGGATAACACGTATGGCTGGCTGCAATACCACAGCGAGGAGCTGCAGCATCCGCAACGACGTCAGCAGCGTTGATGACAGCACCGCTCTGGTCCGTGTTGTGTTCCGCGACGGTTCCGCTCAGCTGGCGGTTCGCAAGACCCTGTGGCTGAGTGGGGACGACTCGCGGGGGCAGGCGGTAATGGAGGCGGAGGCGAGGGGGCTGCTGGTGAGTGGGGATGGGAAGCAGGGGAAAGGGAGGGAGCTTTGTCTAGGTATGGTTGGCTGCATGGATGGGGACTTGGGGGAATCAGCAAGCACTCCTGTAAATTCCTATGTTGCTTTTATACTGTGCCATGCCATGTCGTATCTTTATTTTACACCGCTTTCCTTCCCTTCCGGCCCTTCCCCTCCCCCACTCAGGCCTCTTGCGGCAGTCCCTTCCTGGTCGGCTGCCTGGGCGGTCGCGAGCTGCCGGACCGCTGGGAGCTGCTGACGGAGTTCGCGGAGGGGGGCAATCTGGAACAGGAAATGGTAGGGAGGGAGGGGGGAGGGGGTCACATTCACGGGTTTGGGTAAAGGTTGGGTGGAGTTTCTTGCCGCATGCTGTGACAGTTTAGCGCTATTCGGAATCCTGGCAAGGCGCCCAGTTGGAGGCACGCCTTGAACTGCATTGCGACACGCACCTTTTAATCCTTGCATGCTGCATCCGAGCTGTCACTTCACCCGGAGACCCCAACATAACTTTCCATGACATCTTGTTCCCCATCCTTCCCTCTTACACCCTCTCTCTCCCACCCGTCCCTCCCCACAGGACACTGCCACCTCTGCCCTGCTGCACACCGCCTCCTCCTCCTCCTCCTCCTCCTGCTCCCCCGCCGCTGGACCCCTGCTGCCCCTGAGCCGCCTCCGCTGCGTGGCCGCCTCTGCGCTGCTCGCGCTGACCCACCTGCACTCCCGCGGCGTGCCTCACCTGCACGTGCGCCCGGCCAACATGCTGATCAGCGCCGAGGGGAGGGTCAGGCTGGCGGGCAACACGGGGGACGCAGCCTCCGCGGCCCCGCACGACTGCTTCTCCGCCCCCGAGCTGCTCCTCTCTTCGCACCCGCCCGCAGCCCTGCTCGCCAAGGCTGACGTGTTCAGCGTGGGGGCGGTGGTGGCCGTGTGCGCGTTTGGCCGCGTGGGGTGCGGCACGGGGTCCCGCTACGCGCAGTGCGTGTGTGAGGTGCCCGAGTGGGCTCCGGAGGCGCTGGTGAGCTTTGTGCGGGCGCTCATGGCTGCGGACCCCGCCGCCCGACCCACTGCCAGCGAGGCGCTGAGGCACCCCTTTTTGGAGGGGCTGGGGGCGGAGGATGTGGTGCTGTGAGGAGGCGTGGGAAGGGGGGAGCTGTTGGGGGGATGAGCTGTTGACGGGTGTTACCGTAAGCTGTTAAGGGGGGGGGGGTAAAAAAAATATATAATGAGACACTGTTAAGGGGGGGGTGAGTTGTTGGGCCTGCGGGCATGTTTTATAGCGGACATGCAGTTGTAGCAATGTCATGTAGGACTCGCGTGGGTAGTTGAGGCAACAGGTTTGGGCTGCAGCTGAGAAGCTTGCATGTCGTCGACTTGAGTGCTGAGGCAGAAATGCCTCCCGTATTGGTGGCCTGGTGAGGAACTTGGCGTAAAACATCAATTTAATAAATGTGTTGAGCAAGGTTTATCAATAGCGTATCTACGCAAGTGGTCAGATCGTTACCCGGCCTTAGGTGTATCACGTGAGCAGGCTGGCGTGCTTATGTTGGGCTTAGGTTATCGTACAGTATAGACGGCTAAGCTGCGCAGTACTTTGTGTTTGCTCTGTTGGTTCTTTGCAGCCATATGATGGGTTGTTGGTCCTTAGCATGGCTTGTACAGGGACAGAGGTTCTGACTTGGACGCAGTGTCATTTGTGTTTAGGCCAGCGCTGGTCTTCAATGCGTTAGGGCACGATGCATGGTCACACGGGGTTACATGCGTGCGTTCTTCTGTCGGTATTGGTCAGAACTTAGAAGGCCGCATGACACGCAACGGCGCTGGGGCATCCAAATAGTGGAGCCTAGATTGTAAACTCATGTGAAGGGGTGGACCTAAGCCATTTGCCTTGATCGGGTATTGATGACGCAACCACGACGCATGACTTCAAATGCAAGGACACTGCACCCCCTCGGTACGACAAATTAGGATGTCATATGCCCATGCGCCCACCCACCCGACCGCATGTGCGCCACTGCAGTGGGTAAAATATCGCCGGCCGGCCGCATGAGACCAGCCGAAGCTCGGCCAGTGGCTTCGTTTCCGCTATATATC